GTATTATTATATCCATTTTACAGAGGGAAACTTAGAAAGGTTAAGTAGCTTGTATGGAGTCACATAGATAGTATCTAAGGCTGAACTTGAACTCAGGTTAAAAGCACTGGCTCTAAGCACTCGACCTGCTGAGCCATCACATTCTTTAGGGAACAAACTTTCAATATGAATTTGATGTGGTAACCAAAATAAGCTAATGTAGTCTTAACTCATTGAGTTATGAGAAACAGGCTGAAAGATTATGTGATATCTTCTGAACTCTATCAAGGTTAGACTACAGCTAGTGTATTAATGGATGACATTTCTAAATAGGCAGGATTAATTAAGCTCAACTAGAAAAGGAAGAGCAGGATGGTAAAGGCAATGGAAATCAAGACATATGGGCCTCAGTTGAAGGAATCAAAAATGTTGAGCTTGCTAAACAAGAGTAAGAAGGTTTATAGGAATCATCTGAAGGATGGGCATAGGAAAAGATTTAGACTACTTCTGCCAGGACTCTGAGGACAGAAGTGGGAGGGGAAGAGATACTATTTGACTTAATGTAAGGGACAAAAAATGCTGATATTTGAAGATGTCCAAAAGTAAAAAAGGCTATTTCAATATATAAATGGTTTCCAGTCACTGCTCATGTCACCTAAGTGACCATTCACTGGGTGGTGATGATGTTTAGATATGGATTTGGACTCCATGGCCTTGAGATCCTTCAACTTCTGAAAATCTGGCCCAGGAAGGAGACTAAACACTCCTTAATTCTCCTCATTGCTTCATGTTTGTATGACAACAGACCTTGCTGATCAAGCTCTGAGAATCTATTTCTACACAGAAAATCAAAAGATGAGAATACTAATTACCCAACCTCCTTCCCAGAGGAGTGGTCAGGATTAGTGAATTAATGCTGTTAAAGGATTTTGCTTTCCCAACATGCCATCATATAATTACAAAGTATTATAATCAGAATAATTGGAATATCTACCCTTTGGAAATTTAACATTTGCTTGAGATTAGTGTTCGACTGAGTTACTGTAGGGGAATAAAAGAAGGCTGAGGTTTCTAATATGAAATTTAAGCTGTTGTCAAGACAGAACAGCATGTACTATTCTACCCTCAGCACAGCCCAGGGAATATACCATATTTTAAAACACTTTTTTTAAATGTCCAAATTGGAGATATTTAATTGTATTACTTTCTAAGCCCTGATACAATATGGCACATTGAAGCTAGAGAATAATGAAGATAAATATGCTTATTAATTTTTTATGTTATAAAATCTTCATTTAGTTTAGAAATTATAAAGTATCATATCAATATTTGTTACAGAGCAACACAATTCATAAATGTTTTTAAAATAATATTTGCATATATGCATATGTACAGTTACATATACACACATGTATATACCATTATACATGTACAAACATATGTATATACACATATACATACATGCGTGACTGAGTAGTCAAGTACATTATAGAACTCCATGATGCTGAACTTTCTTTGGACCTAAGTCAGAATACTCCCTAGAACTTATTACTGCTAAAGTATGTCCAAAATGTAGAAAAGGAGAGTCCCCTCATGTTCATATAATATATTAAAAATGATAATGAAAAAGAAAACTTTATATCTAATGGACAGCTGGCTGGTCAATGGGAACTCAATTCGCAGGAGATGTGCAGCTATGTGGAAGAAGCTGGGCAGTCTGCTTCTGGAAAGGTCTTATGATGGAATTGAAGTCTCTACCCATTTTAGAGGAATGTATATGATGTAATGGAAGCCTGTACCTATTTTATGAGAATGTACATAATGTAATGGGAGTCTCTACCCATTTTAGAGGAATGCTTATGATGTAATGGAAGTCCCTACCCATTTTATAGATATCATAACTATTTAATGTCTATTTCTGAAGAAGAGGAACCATTCTATGGGATGGTGGGCCAGAGCTGAAAATGTATTCAAAAGGCACTCATTCACTCATTTTTTAAATATTTTTGCAACTAATCTTTTCTATGCTTTTCAGGGAGGAGGCAAATTCTGCTCTAAACACTGGTGGAAAGAAATATCTGGGATGGCTATTTCCCAGCTTAGTCCTCTATCACGTGGCCTGTGAGTGCAAGGCTCTGCAGTGATTTCTCTCTGTGTTACATCAGCTCTGCCTTAATTAAAGGAATATGTCTTGTAGATGGAATATTGTACACTAGGACCTTATGAACTTTGAAAATAACAGAGATTAAGTCACCAGAGCTATGGGAGCTTAGGTCCAGGCAACAGTTTGTGGTCTATCAGCACAGCAAATTCCTAAGGACTGCATATCCAAAGTGTAACATTTCTTGCTGGCTTAGAAATGTACAATCAATCCTAAACATCTAATCTCTTTTCCTTGTAGGTTCACCCTTATTTGGAACATATTTCACCTTGTTTTCTTTAGTCTCCAACTGAACATATTCATTCTGTTTTGGGGGAGTGTGGAATTATAGTAGGAATCCTCTGGGGAGGAATTCCAGGTTCTCTTTTTTATAGTACAGCGATCCAAAGGCAATTTGCTTGGACCTCAAAGAAAATCTCTGTTGGTTTAGGGACCACAGTTTACGTATACTCTGTGTAGAAAAGCACATTGAGGACATTTTGTCCAGATCCCACTTAGAAAGGCCTTATGTACTAAGTCAATCATAGAAGAACTTTCACCTAGAAAAGTTGGATTTTCACTTGAAGTTGAAGAAATGATTTCCAGTTGACACTCAGGTGCTTAATTCCAGCGTAAAGCGCTAAATACATTTCCTGCACATGGTAGACAATTAATGCTTGTTCACTTCCCTTCACTTTCTCTCCTTTTAGCACTGGGAGAGAGATTATTTTCTTTCTGAGATGGGAAAATAGTTTTTCTTACCCTTTTAATGTTATTCAGGATTGAACTCACTCTGAGAGTAAGAGCTGAGAGTGGAGGGCCTTAGTGGAAGAGGGAAAAGACCAAGTACCTCAGATTCCCTATGACTGAGTTTTCAGATACCAAGCAAAATCATCTAGTTTTCTCACCTGAGGGTAAAGGGTATGACTGCCAGTTCACCTGTGGTCCTATTATTCATTGATCAACATATCTTATGGCAACATTCCACCTCTGGGAAACTGACCAACTTTCCTTCTGAGATAAGCAGGGTAATGGTTTTATCCTTCTTTTTTCTTTATTTTCTTTCGGCAATGGCTTTGAGGAAGGCCACTTAGAGGGCTTACTGGAGAATTACTAAGTAAGCAGCGACATTTAATAAAAATTATAAAATATTATTTCTTTAAGATGTATACAATTTTATATTTAAGGATAATTATGATTTTTCAAAATTCATATATATATGATTGGACTTTGTCACGTGATGTTGACTGATTTTAAATAAATAAATGATGGGAAAATGCTTATGCCTCTATTCTATATTGGATATACACACACACGTGTATCTATGTATGTATGTATGTATATCTATGCATATATATGCATAGATATACATATATATATATATACACACACACATATATCATGTCTCTATTCTATATTGTGTGTATGTATGTATGTATGTATGTATGTATGTATGTATGAGTGTGTGTGTATATATCATGCCGTAGTTCACAATCTGTTATCCTCACCTCTTCACTCTCCATCACTCCTCATATCCAATCAATTGTCATCTCAATGGTATTTCTTTCTTATCTGTCCTATGCTGTCTAATATCACAGTTATCACTTTAGTTCAAGGCCTCATCACTTTGTCTGCATTATTTCAATAGCTAATTAATTAGTCTACCTTCCTCTAGTTTCTTCCCTATCAGCTTCAAAAGTGTTGTCTGGCATTTAATGTTCTTCACAGTTTGGCTCTGATATATCTTCCTCTATTTATATTATTTCCTTTTATGTATTCTAAATCCTGGCAAAACTATGCTATGTTTGTTTCTCCAAATAGGATGATTCATCTTCCACCAAGATTTTTCACACAGGTTCCCTCCCAAGTCTAGCATTCTCTTCTTTCTCACGTCCACCTTATAGAATCCTTAGCTTCCTTCAAACCAGTTTAGGAGTCACATCCTACCAGATTTCCTTAATTTTCAGTGAAATTACTTTGTATTTATGCTGCATTATGCATATATATAATATATACATGTATATATATACATGTATATATTATATACGATATATACATGTATATGTAATATACATAATATATATTATATATACCTGTATATATATATACAGGTATATATAATATATATTATGTATATTACATATACATGTATATATATACATGTATATATTGTATATATATATATATACATGTGTGTGTGTGTGTGTGTGTGTGTGTGTGTGTGTATATATTTTTTTCTCTTCTCTGTACGTTGTGTTTTCCCCCAGTCAAATATAAGATGCTTGTTGTCAAGGACTATTTGCATACTCCAGAACTAAGCATAGTTTCTGGCACTTAGTCAATCGATCAATCATCTAACATATTTTAAGTCCCACTATGTGCCAAAAAGCATAGGTACAAGGATAAACATTAGACAATCCCTGACTTCAAACTACTGAATTTGAAACTAGGGAATATAACATATATTCATTTAAAGAGGAATACAAAATGAATAATTTGTTGTTGTTGTTGTTGTTGTTTTCAGTTGTATCCAACTCTTCAGAACCCCATTTGGGGTTTACTTAAGCAAGGGCAATGGAGTGGTTTGCCATTCCTTCACTACCTTATTTACAGATGAGGAAACTGAGGCAAACAGGGTTAAGTAACTTGCAGAAAGTTCACACAGTTAGTATTTGATGCCAGATTTCAATCCAGGAAGATGAATCTTCCTGACTTTAAGCCTGGTACTCTATCCACTGTGTCACCTAGCTGCCCCAAGTAGAATGGACAAGAGTACGCAGTCACTCCACTAGAATCATCAACATGCTATTTGGATTCCAGTGTCTGAAAAGAGACTTACAGAAAGAAAAATTAACAAACCAAAAAGAAATAATCATATTACCTCCCACTTGATAAACATTTCCTTGGGTTGAGATGCTTCAACTCTTATGTTTTCTGGATTCTTATCTGGAGCTAGAAAATCACATACACTGAAGTTATCTTTTCATTCATCATCTGATAGTCTATCTAAGTATAATCAGTACCCCCTTCAAATTTATCAAGATTTATTAAAATAAAGGGAACTTTATAAATATGGAAGCTGGTTTTATTATTTCTAATCATTTTGCATTGTTTTTAATATAATTTCACCTATGATTTTTCACATTCCTCTATTATATTGAGCTAAATGTTTCCAAAATATTGCCCATCAGATTGCTTGAAAAATTAACAAAATAAGCAAAAACTCCAATAACTTGGTACAACAAATTGGCACGATTACAATTACATACGTATATGCATATATACATATATATGTATATATATACATATATATACATACATGAAAAATAAGTAACTATTGTTCAATATAACATGTTCCCTTTTTAATGCTATGCATTTTATTTTCTGCATTTAATAACATTATTCTGAGAAGTTATTAGCTTTCACCAGATTGCTAAAGGGGTCCATCTCTCTCTCTCTCTCTCTCTCTCTGTCACACAAACACACACACACACACACACACACACACACACACACAGATTAAAAACTCTTGGTCTAAAGTGCAACTCCATGTTATCAATTCAAATAATGACAGGGTGATTATTTTTTATATAAGTACAATACATCTACAATACAGTACAATAAATCTTCTTGGGTGAAACTACAAAACAAAGGGAAATAAGTAGGCAATTCAAATGGAAAACCAAGCAAACAATACAGAATGACTCCTTTCAAAAGACAGCCTTTTTACGTAAAAATGGAAAATGTGCTAACAGTACAGATACAAAACAAGTTTAGTGTAAAATAAATTACACAGATGATTGACCCTTATTTCTATTACAGTTCTTTTACAAGCAAACTGATTCCTGCATTGGTGTTAGGCCAGGAACAAAGAATGAGATCATACTAGAGAAGAACACATTAAGAATAAATGCTCAAATGAGGAGTCTTAACCTTAAAACTTCCATATCTGGAGTTCAAAAAAGACTAAATGTCCTGAGGGGTTAACCAGGGATTATGGGATTACACAAAATTCACATCAAACATACCCAAACCAATTTTTTTCAGATGGAAGGAAAATCCGAAGAAGCTGAAGGATTCATTTTAGGAAATTCACTTTTTAGGGGAAAAGAAAAAACTTTGGAAAAACATATATCAACTTCAATTTGAAATTTAACTTTCTATATAAGTAAATCATAGGCATGGTTATATACACCTCTTTCTATTCTCCTAGGAAATGTGTATTTTTAAAAAAAAATTCCTACATATTGATAAAATGTCATCATGCCACCTAATGAGAGTTGTATATTATAGCATGTGAATTGTTCAGAACATTCTCAACTCCCAAGAATTTCTAAGGAATTGAAGTGAATTATATAGTCACATAAGGCTGCCTTCACCAAAGTGAGGAAGAGGAAAACATGAATAGAGGTGGCTAAAGTAACTGGTTAAATCCTAACCCCTATGTCCATTCTTGTCTCATTTAATCTAGACTAGTGCCTACAAAGATGCCATAGTCTACTCCTCCTGGCTTGCACACTTATGAAGGTTTCCAATTCCATTTGTCCTCCTGGATATAACATAATGCCACTCTTAAACACTAACAGTAACTTAGAATCAGCTTAGAGTAACAGGTATCATTAATTTCCTAGGAATAATATGTGCTGCTACATCTCTCAGTACAGAAAAAAATATATACTGAAACTTAAGTGGCTGTATAGAAGATAAGTATATCTCCTTATGCCCTTGTTCCCATTTGCTAGCAGGTGTTTCTATACTACTGGTAATGCCCAACATTATAACTAATTTGTTTCTTGAAATTTGCAGGGGGTAGTGAATCTTCAGAGATTTTCTAATGAGCTCTAATGAGTGAAATTATTTATTTACCTGCAGGTGGAGTTTCATGATAGTCAGAAGGCTCACTTGGTAGACTCCTTCCCACAGCATTTACACCTATTATCCGGAACTGGTATTTTACATATGGTGCCAAAGATAACAGGGCTGTTGTTTCATTTCCTTGGATTTTAGTTAATTCTGCCCACTTTCCTGGCTCATCTTTATTGCCTTCAAACTCTATAATGAATTCTAAGAGAAAAGACATGGTCATAGAATTAGACATACTTGTGGACAATTAGATATATTACTTCCTGTTATGATATGTAAATTAGAATGAAAATATTCCATCCATTCTGTCACATAATATTGCAATGAGGAACTTTGCATCTTTTTTTTAGTTTTGCATTGTGAACTATAATGAGAAATTGAGATTATTGAAGAATTTTCTACCAGTTATGGCACTGTTGTGGCTATCTCCAGCTTCCCAAGTCAACCGCACACTCCTATTCTGCCTTTCAGAGAGATAGAGATTTTCTGGTGGATCAGGAACATCTGGATAAAAATTCAAAGAAAAGAAAATATATTACCCCAAAGTAATAGTTGTATGTCTGTGTATGTGTGTGTGTGTGTGTGTGTGTGTGTGTGTGTGTGTGTTATTGTGGAACAAGAAATAAGGACTCAGATTTTCAAAAAATGAAAAAAATGATAAACTGTACAAACATGGCCTTTCCTTTCTATGAGTGGGTTGACATGTTTCAATTATAATGAATAAATATGCTACCCTGTTACGTATGTTGAGAGGGACAGAGACAGAGACATACAGAAAGAGAAAAGAAACTGTCCCTGTCCTTAAGGAACTTATACTTTATTGGGAGAGACAACCTGTACATAGGTAAGTCTAATTTAGGGTAGGCACTATATCTGTGATTTCCTTGGTGTAAGGAATTCCTAGATGAGTAAAAATCAATCAATAAACAATCAATAAACATTTACTAAGAGCCTATTATAGGGGCAGCTAGGTGGCACAGTGGATAGAGTGCTAGTGTGAGAGTCAGGAGGCCCTGAGTTCAAATCTAGCCTCAGACATTTGCCATTTATTAGCTGTGTGACCCTGGGCAAGTCACTTAAACCCAATTGCCTCACACACACAAAAAAGAGTCTATTGCGTATCAAGCACTTTGTTAAGCCAAACTTCCTCTACCAATGTATTGATAGCAACTTGCAGGCTTAAAGAGTTTCCTAGAGCACCTTGAGGTTGTGACTTGCTCAGGGTCACACACTGGTCAATATGGCTTTGAGGTCACATTGCAATGTCGTGTAGTCTGAATGTCCTGAAACCGTTCACTACCTCAATATTTCAATGCCATGCTATTTCATTGTTACAAACCCTGCCTTCATTGACATAGATGACTGCTCTTCTTTGATTTATTAAAAGGGCTTCAAGAATTTTTTTTTTCTTCCTGAAGAGTCCATCTCAGTGCAGCCACTCTAGTAGTCAATCTGAATTTAATAGGTAAGGGTGATATACTTTGTCAAGCACTATGTATCAATTTATATGCAAATGTATGCATATACATTTGTGTGTTACCCCATTCATTCCTCACGTAAAACTTAGAAGGTAATTGCCCTTGTGTTCCCCATTTTACAAATGAGGAAAATGAGTATGAAATCAGTTAAGTGACTTGCCTAGGATCACACAGCTAGTAAATATATGAAGCAGGCTTTAAGAAAGGTCTTTATGTCTCTAAGTTCAGTACTTTATTCACTGAGCCACTTAATTGCCAGTGTATCCTTTACACATATATCAGGAAAAAAAATTTTTTCCAATAAGTCCTTTGAAATGTCTGATGCAAATTACTTTTGGAAATTAAGGAAATAAGTACATAAATGTATATATAACATACACATGCATAATTCATGTATATATGTATGTGTGTATATGCACACATGCACACACACACACACACACACACACACACACACACACAAATATGACAGCTTCTCAAAATGTGACCAATAATGAGAGCTAAACCTTCTGTTGTCTTAGGGACAAAGAGGAAATTCTCCCTTCTTCACATTTTAGAATTCTGTAGAAATGTTCAGTTTGGATTCACAAAATGATCCATTTAGAACTTGATATGACCATTGTGGTTATTACATTTAAGTCTTCATTGTAGAGGATAGAAAATTCAACTCAGAAAAGTGTTCAGGGTCACATAGGCTATAAGTAGCAGTATTTGTATTCATGGATTTGTCCTCTGAATCCAAATTGGCTTTCCACTACCCCAGACTGCCTCCAATTCTGCAAACACTGTGCGTGCACGGGCCCATGTCATCTGAGGAGGCATCCACAGAGCATGGTACACATCTAAGATTAAAATCTATTTGCTCTTATGTAAAAAAGAATAGAATTAAACTAAGATGGATGGACTTGAAGAAAAGCATTCAAAGGAGAGCTGCCTCAGAATACATCATCAAATCTGCCATGAACTGTTATATTTTATGGGGGAAAAAAATTAAGCTTATTTTGTTAATTTTTGAAATTTTCTTAGAAAAAAATTCAATTACTCAATGTAGCTCATATTATAGGATAGCCTTATGGAGAGCTATGATATATGTTTATAATTTTATTGTGCAGCTATTAAAGATGAAGATTAACATAGTTCAAATACATATACATATATGTTTATAAATGACTATGTTATACAGAACCTTTATAGATATCTAAAAATAATATCTCCATATCCTGACATTGATAACTTAGGTTATTTTTAATGAAAAAAGTAAATAAGAAAAGAAATAATTGGTTGATTAATGTAAGTGAGTAACAGCTGTGATTTTATGGATTTCTCTATTTGTATACTTGTCAGGAATTACATGGAGAAAAAGAAATTACATATGTCTGGTTCATATCTGGGGAGGGTGCATGTGAGCAAATGTGAGGGAGGATATCATATAGGAATTCACAGGACAAACAATTTAGTACTACAATAGACCTTAGATACAGAAATTGAGGCCCAGGTAGGTTAAATAAACAAGGTAACAAAGATAGTAACTAATAAAGCCAAGATTTTAACTAACTCACTTGGGTTCATAACTTGGAAACCTAGTAAAGGGCTCTAATCCCTTATTCCTCCTGTGAATGAGTGTCAGCCTTAACCACTAAAGGCCCACACTGGATCTGGAGCCATAAGTCTGGGTTTGTTAAACACCACATAACCTGGATCGGTCCTCAGTATGCTCATCTGTAGAAATGAGGAAGCTGGTCTACGTGATTTTTTGTGTTCTCTTCCAATATTATGATTATAGCGCTATGATCTTTGTGAAAGGTTGCTAGCTATATCACTCAGGAGAGACACGTAACTTCCCTAGGTCTCATTTGGAAAACTGAAACGGTTAGGCTAGATGGTCCTTAAAGCTCTTCCCAACACCCAATCTGTATTCCTAAGATCCTGTGACCCTAACTCCAGTGCTACATGCTGCTTCCAATAAGCACAAAATTGGACACACAAGTATAAGAAAGCTTAATCATTTGCTAATTTCATAAAATGGAAGAAAAAATCTTGAAATAGAACTTAAAAAGTACAGAAACCTAGCATTTTAGATCTAACTGTTAAGAAAAGAATTTAATCAGGGGTGTAGAGGTAAATAACAGTATATTACCTCTTAATGATGAACAAACAGTTAAAAAACTTACCAAGGATGGTGACTTGAGTTGTAGCCATGGCTCTGTCAAGTGCAGTATTAGCAAGGCAAGAATACAATCCTTCATCCTCTAAAGTGACATTTGATATAGTCAGCTTATCTCCATCAATAATTATCCGGCTTTAAAAAACAAAAAAAAGAGCAATTACGAAAAAAAAGAAAGAAAACAAATATCTAAAACAAATGCTATTTTTTTTCCAGTATGATTTCATGGAAACTCTTCAATGGGGCAGACAGTTTCTCCTTTAGGAAAAAGAATAAAACCCCATGGAGAAATAAAAGACAAATCAGGGAATAGTAGGTAATCCAGTTTTGTTAAAGCATAGACTATGCAGGAAGATACCTTGAGATATGGCTAGCAAGGTAGGTTGAAACCCTACTGAAGTTGGCTTTGAATGTGGATCCTGTATTTTATTCAGTTAACAATGGGAAGCAGGCTTTGGAGGAGAGTAGGTATGTGATTATTTTGAGAGCAATGTGAAGAAAACAAGATTGAAAAGGGACAGATGTGAGACTTGGAGACCAATTTGTGGCTATTGCAATGATTCAGACAAGGAGCCATGGGAACCAGAGTTGGGGTATTTGTTGTGCAAGTGGAAAGTATGAGGCAGATGGAATAAATACATTAGGAAAAGTTTTAACAGGACTTGGCAATTCCGAGGACACGTGGGGGAGGAAAAAGGAATAGTCAAGGATGAAGCCAAGTATTTAAGGCTGAATGACTGGGAAAGTGCTTATATAATTACCAACAGGGTAATTAAAAAGAGGGATATGTTTAAGAGGAATGATAACTATAATGAGTTTATATTTGTACATACTGAATTTGAGGTAGCAATAGAACACCCCACTGAAGATCTCTTGTAAGCAGTTGAAAATAAGAACATTATAATAATGGAAAAGTTTGGGATTAGAAATAAGGATATCACTCTTGTTGTTGTTGATCCTTAATTTCTGAAGAGGACCCATGAGTACTATCTTGACTTGAGCATGAATTGGATTTAAGTGAGGCAGAGTTGCATAAGGTCATCAACTTCGCTCTCTCTTCCAGAGTCATGGAATTCCAGTGTCAAGACGAAAGTCAGGATGATTGATGATGGCCCAGGATGCAGTGGATGACTTTGGTGTCTTCAATGTCTGACCAATCTCTGAGCACTCCCCAGTGTTTGTTTCAGCTGCCTTCACAGACTTTGGAACAAATTGTTCTCATCTACTCTTTCTGCTGGAGGAACAATTTACATTCTTTGGGCAGACATTCCCCTAACTCACTGATGGATTTGAGGCCTATTGGTTATCCTCAACCTGGTTTAGCCCATCTGCCAAGACTGTTTTACTGAGGTGTGCCCACTGCATATGCTATAGTTTCTTGGAGCTACAGGTGAGAGTGATTAGGATGTAAGTCTTAGCTGCACAGAGGCAGCATAACCATTGAAATAGAGAGAATTGGAGGAGGTTGAGAAGACAGAGAAGACAGAAAAAGTAGAGAATCTTGAATGAGGATCACACTCAGGGAGCAAAAGGAGGATAAGAAATCAGGGAAAGTGAATGACAAATAGCCAAAGTTAGGCAAGCTAAAGCAAACTAGTATCACAGAAAAAGGAAGGGAGGAAAATGAAGAATCAAGAAGGAGGTAGTAGTCAAGAATTAATATTGTAGCAACTTTAAGAAGGAGTTTGAAAAGGCTAGTGGATTTGACAATGAGGTGTCCATTATTAACCTTGGAGATATTAGTTTCAGTAGTGATGGTAGATGAAAACTGAGGTTAGGGGACTGAGGAATGAAAGGATGGTAAAGAAGCAGAGGTAGTGGAAGCCTATTTTTTTCTATCAACTTGTCATTAAATGAAGGAAATGAGAAATAATAATAATTTGAGTGATGTCATTGTTTTAATCTTAAATATTTTAACGCTTTGGAGGAAAAGTGGGAAAGGAAGGGAAAGATGGGAATAGGGAGATGAGAAAGAGATGATCAACTAATGGGACAATACCTCATGTCAGACAAACAGGATTTGGCTCTTGGGCACAATTAGAGAGGGTATAGCCTGCAAAGAGAGCCACCTCATTTGCTGAAACTCAACGAAACAAAGATGACCCAGTAAAATTTTTGAGATTAGGTAGATGGAGAATCACAGTACTAGCTGACACATGAATAGTGATTGGGCTAGATCTGTAATTTAATGAGTATAAGTAACCCACATATGAAATAACCGCATCTGTCAATTCAGGTAATCTTCTCTGAAACTTATGATCACAGAGATCTCCTCAGTCTATCAGGAATGTAAGTGATATGCCAGATTCACATAGTCAGTCTATGCCAGTGATAAGACTAGAACTCAGGTCTTCATGGCTCCAAGTCCAGTTCTATCCACTACTCCAAGTTTCTTCTCTAGTTTACATTTATATAGCACTTTAAGGTTTGTGAAGGGTTTATCATGTTCATTTGATCCATGTAACAATTCAATGAGTTATCTCTTTTGAAAATGAGGAAACTGAGTCTAAGACAGGTTGAATAACTTGCCTAGGCTATTAGCTAGATTCAAACTCAAGTCATCCTGATGCCAGCTTTAGTGCTCTATCCACTCTCCCACCTAGATTTCTCAGTAAGACTTAGAAGCAGACAATGTATGGAGTAGTGGGAGGCCGTGAGAAGCATGAGATATTTCTGAGATCATGAACCTGGGTGACTGCCAGGATGGTGGTGCCCTACAAATAAGTGGGGAAGTTTAGAAGAGGAGCAGACTTGTAAGAGGCAAAAGGATGTGTTTCATTTTAGATATGTTGCATTTGAGGCTGATTTTAATTCTTTACACAATCATGCTGTCCCCAACTAAGACTCTTAATATATTCCTAAAACGTATGTGATTCCTTTATTTTTTATGCCCCAAATCAGAATGTTTGGTATATTGTAATGTAGTTTCACAGTACTGTGAAACTCATAATACTGTGAGAAAAAAAAAGTTAAATTTCTTCAGCAAAAAGTTGGCAGGTTTCATAATCCTTTCTAATTAAAATATGCAAAAGCATCAAAGATATGTTATGTACTTCTCCATAAATAAATGTCACCTTAACAGTATATCATGTTATTCTTTCTTAGGATTCCTTCATTTAGGAATAATAGGCCTCAGTGTATGTATCCTGTTACTTATGTATTGATAGGGATATAGGAGCATTTTCTGTGTGTGTGTGTGTGTGTGTGTGTGTGTGTATGTGTGTGTATCAAGAGGGAGAGAGAGGGAGACAGGGAAGGAGGAAGGAGGAAAGGAAGGAGAGGGAGAGGGAAAAGGAAAGGGGGAAAGAGAGGGGAAGGGAGAGAGAAAGAGAGAGAGAAAAAGAGAGAGAGAGAAAGAGAGAGAGAGTTAGTTTAGAAAATTATGATGTTCCAAATAATTTTATTTGGAACATCATAATTTTCTAAGCTAAGATTATAGATTTAAAGATGGAAAGGCCACAGAGCTCATCTAGTGTAGCCTCTACATTTTACATTGAAAAACTTAGGCTGGCTACATGGTGTAGTGGATAGAGCACCAGGCTTGGAGTCAGGAAATCCTTGATTTTGAAGTCACAAGGACCTGAGTTAATATTTGGCCTCAGATACTTACTACCTATGTGATCCTGTGCAAGTCACTTAACCCTGTTTGCCTCAGTTTTCTCATCTGTAAAACAAACCACTTCACTATTTTTGCAAAGAAAACCCCAAATAGGATCACACATAGTCAGACACAACAGAAGCAACAACAACAACACTTTGAAAGTTATCATATTTGCCTAAACATCAGCAAGATGATGATGATGATAATTATATGAGGATTATGAAGGAGAAAAGCAAGAACAAGAAAGAGGAGGATGAGAATTGCTGGCCTTTAGAGATCTAGTTAAAAGTGTCAACACACTTTGTGTACTAACTCATTCGGCATTCAAAATGACCCTGTGCAGTAGAGGCTACTGTGTCCTCATTTTTGAGATGAGGAAATTGAGGCTGATAGAAGTCATACAAATTGCCCAGGGTAACACAAATAAGCATCTGAAGCAAGATTTGAATTCAAGCATCCCAAAATTCAAGAACAGTACTTTGTCCACTGTGCCATCTAGCTGCTTCTAGGATATAACAGAAATGTGATTAGAATGAATGTCCTTTGCCTTTCAATGCCTGTGCTCAATATATTTCTTCTGAAATAGTAGAAAAAACCCAAATATTGCTTTCCATATATTCTTCTGCATCTCTGAAACATTCATGCTCTGCAAAAAAATACCTTTCTAGTGCCAGATTTTCCAGACAGACAAGTAGAACATCATTAACATTGACAAAGCAAACTTCAGGAGATGCCGGATAACCGAATAATAGCTGAGCCATCTCTGTGACTTCAAATTGAAAATTGTTGGGATTTCTTAAACATTTTACAGACATTCTTGTCTACTCTTCAGTGCATGCAGAGTGATAAGTGCCCCTTTCCTAGTTCTTGTCCCTTGACAAATGCTCTTCTATCTCTTCAGATATCTAAGTTAAGGCTACTTATATGGTGCAATATGGAGACTCTCTCATAGTTCGTAGACTAGATCAATCTAACTCTTTTCTAATCCAGAAATCAACAGAAAAAACAAACAAACAAACAAACAACCCAAAAGAGTATATATTTTGGTAGAGAAAAATAAAAACAAGCTTTCTAGTGGTACCTTTTCTGCAAATATTTGGAAAGAGGATAATTGAGATATTTTAGGTATATTTTTTCATCATTTTTAGTAATGATCCTATAACTTCCAACTTTCCCAAAATTCAAAGCTTCTTACCTTCTGTGTAAGTTATCATCTAATAAAGGATGGATCCTTGTTGATTACCTGATCTCTTCAGTTCCATTAGCTTCAAGGGCTTCCCCATCTTTACTCCAAGATAACTTCAAACTGTGCTTCAAATGTGAATCACACTCTGTCTCACAGTGCAAAACTAGCAAGTGAGACTTGATGATATGAGGATTCAGTGGAGAAATGGTAAGGTTTGTAGCATCTGTTAAACCACATAGAGACATTGTTTAGAATTGATTTCAGTTTTAATGACACCATTGTCAGATGAATATGGAAAGTATTTGTATTAGATTTGCTACTGATATTTTCTTGACTTCATTTATCATTGTTATTAACTTCCTGAGAGAAACTGGGCAGTAGCTGACAAAAGGACTTTGAATCAGAAATTACTGTGTTCAAGTTCTGTCTGAAACTGAAACTGACCATGTGATAATGATCAAGTCATTTAACCATTCAGTGCTCCAGGAAATTCTCTAGGATTGTAAATTGCAGAACAGTGCTAATTTGGATCACTGAAGTGGAATGAGCTTTCTCAATTAGTGTTGTATATTCTAATGAAGTCAGAGATCCAGGCTAAAAAGAAAACAAAACTCAATGGCTTCCCATTGAAGGATGGACACTAGAAGGTCTAAAGACAATCGGCAAGAGATCAAAATGAAATTAAAATTTTTGTTAACCATTGAATGATTTCCCCTTTATAACTTTATGGTAAAATAAGGTAAGGCTTCTAATTTTTCACTGGATTTCCAAATGTGGGCACATGAAAGCCAAATGGATATTCAAATGAGGAAAGATATGGATGAGTTTCCATTCTTTAATAACTGGACAGCATCAAAAAGGTAATAAAATGATTTGTACTTTTACTTTCTGAAATGTAATTTATTAACTTATTTAGTAGGTGTTTAATGTTTATGTGGAAATCAGTAATTAAGTTGATCATTATAGGAGAACAGCTGTGAATACCAAAATGGAGTGGACTATATCTATAATACAAATTGATAACAGCGATCTAGTTAAAATTTAACATAAGTTAGTGTTTTAGAGTGAAAATAAAATTCTACTTGTGATAAGACCTTGTCAGAGATAGAATAGAACCCAACATTTGGATGACATTAGAAAGTGCTTGGTGCCTTCCCACATTTCCCATATTTCTTGTCAGATATAAAATGGATATCAGGGTGGGTTTAACCCAAGCCAGCATTCCAATGTTATTATATATTTTGTAATCTATGTGATATGCCCAAAAAGTGATTAAAAAGTGCAAGTTTTAGTAAGCTTAAGTGTTTGGAATGTGTATGTATGTAAATATAACAGATTGAAAGAGATAAATACAATCAAACAAATATGTGTACATCTACCCAGAAACCCAGAAACATCTTATGTTTCACTTCCATTTCAATATATGAAATCAAAATTCCATATGAAAATTATCATCTCTAAGTCTGGTTTAACTGTAATAGTTAGAAAAAATTGGCTTGTAGTATGTACATATGTACATTGCTATGCTTATACATATAAAATGTATGTATAATAAAAATATGTATATAGAACTTTAAGGTTTACAAAGTGCTTTATGTATATTATCTCATACTCACAATAACCCTTTGAGGTAAGTGCTGTGACTACTCTTGCATACAGATGAAAGATTTGAGGCTAATAGATTAACTTAGCCAGGGTAACCCAGGTAATATCTGAGGAAGGATTTGAATTCAAGTTTTCCTGATTCCAAATCTAGCATTTAATCCATCATACTACTGTATCTACACATACATACATACATACATGCACTCATAACACATATCCATGTATATGCATGTATCTCTGTAGATATATGCATGTACAGATAGAAATACACACATACCTATATGTCACACAAAACTTTGAATATTTAAATATATACATTTACTCAGTGTTATTTTAACATTTAAGGGATTTCTAGAGTAAGATGATTCCTTCCATCATGTTAGATAGACACTAAGTAGTTAAGTGACTAACCAAAGGTCACACTCACAATTTCTTTGTCAAAATGTCAGCTGTGGCACTTAAAACCAGTTTTCAATTTCGTAGTCAACACCAACTTGGAACATACGTAGGAGGATATTTATGTACTCACATAATAGTAATACTTTCTTTGGCATCAGGTGGGAAAGATATACACATACACACACACACACACATACACACACACACACACACACACACACACACACACACACACACACTTCCACAAAGTCCTAATCCAATATTTCAGTTTGATATAGAAGTGATCCTGAGTTTTCCAAGGCTGTACCAACAGAATGTATACCCTGACATTAGGCTGGGTCTCCTTTCTGAATACCAGGCTACATAAGTATCAGTTTATGACCAGTAGGTTGACCAGTTGGTTATGGATTTTTTGGGTCTTGACAATCCAAGAAAGAAAGAAATAAGCAAAGTATGATGTCGTCTTCTGCTTCCGCAGTTACAGTGTATAAGTGGTCTGAAAGGAACAAGGTGCTAAAAACACTGTTTGTAGACTATCTATACTTTTGAATCTGAGGGGTAATTCTCTAGATCTAAGATCTTTGTCCAGTGGTCAAAGAGGAGACATACTGATAGAAAAGCTGAAACACATGAATCCTTACTTTCTTGCTGTCCATCAAACCAGAAAAAAAAATGAAATAGCTAACTGGAAAATGGTCTCCCAGGTGATCCTTGGAGAGACATACAAAAGAATAGGTTGAGTAGATTTTATCATATTTCCAAAGAAAAGAAGAAGCATTATTTAAGGGATGTCTTCCTCTCAGATTGTAATTCTGATGATTTTTTTTATTTCACACCACAAAAGCAATTATAATTTATGCACTTATATAAGTTACTGAGGAGGAAGAGGTAGAGAAATTCTATGAAGACCTAAGACCCTACTAATTGAATTCATATACACTTAGATATTTGATGACTTCAGAAAAAAAGGTCTAACAAACAGAAGGTGGTGTGAAATACATGGGAAAACATGATTATAAAGGAAAATAGAAAGTTCAGAGACTGGCAGATTATGGAGAAGCCTTGTGTGCTTAAATCATGATTAATTTGTTTGAGAAAAGAATTACTAGCCACTAGATATTGTGAGAAGCAATAACATTGGAAAAATAAGGTTATTATATAGTATCATTTATTGTTAGAAAAAAAGGCCTTGTTATTTATGTGGCAATCATCACTGAATCTTCTGTCTCTCTAAAATCAGATTTATCAGGGCAAAGATAAGAACCATAAAAATTAAGAACAAGCCATAATGGAGAAATTGTATATTTATACATAGATAGATACAATGATATGTGTGTGTGTCTGTGTATATATATATATATATATATATATACATATGCATATATGTATATATATATGGAGAGAGAGAGACAGAGAGACAGAGAGGAGAGAGAGACAGAGAGACAAAGACAGAGAGCAAGACAGAGAGACAGAGGCAGAGACAGAGGCAGAGAGAGAGGACAGTTAGAATAGAGTTTTAATGTTCAGAAAGCACTTTACATATGTCATCTTACTTGATTCTCACAACAACCATGTGAAGATGGTGCTGTTATTATCTTTCATTTAACAGAGAAGGAAATTGAGATTGAGGGACATGCCCTGGGTTACCCAACTATTGAATGTCTAAGGCTTAAGTCCAGCACTTCATCCACTCTCACCACTTAGCTGTGTTCTGTAGTCAATCATGAAAAATTGGAAATGAACATCATGAATGACAGCAACGTTAATCACAATAATTTTATACTGAAGTGTAATCATTGGAAATCCATTTCCCCAACAAGAAGACCAAAAGAGCCCAGAGAGTGTTTTAGTCTGCAAACATTTGATTTAGTTGCCAAGGCAAGAGAGATGTCAGCCAAGGCAACACTGGTTTAGAATATAAATTGTTGCTAAAATCTTATAGAGATGGATGATGGATGCTTGTTAGTGGTATCGTCTCGGAAGACAAAGAAACAGTGAAGAACAAAAACATTTTAGAGGAAGACTAGCAAGAGATCCAACTAAGCAAAGTCATCCCTAGGACATTTAAGGATAAAGAGAGAAGACATCAAATAGAAGGGAAAAAAAGGAAAAATCTGTAAAGATTACTATACTAAACATTTTCATCAGCAACAAACCTCCAAATATGCAAATCACATGCCTGATATAAATGTATATATTAGGCAGAACCAGTATCAAAGAAAAGAAGGATAGGAAAAGTGTCCTGATTGGACCAAGTACATATAGAATAGATGTAGCAGAGAAACAATTATGATAGCACTGAGGGATCAATACTAAAGGTACCTGAAGGAGGCAGAGACACCAAACACATTAAAAAAAAATGAAATCAAACCTTAGACCTTTTAATATCACCAATTCTATCCTACTCCCTCACAAAAAAAAGACAATTGAGGAAACCATATCAACATTTACCAACTTATCTACCTACTCTCCCATCAATACACCAATTTTATAATGAACCTTTAATCCCCTGAACCGACCAAATCTTTTTTTCCCTATTAAACATATTTTCACATTAATCATGTTGTAAAGAATAATTAGTCAATACACTATTTTTATGAGACATGTACACATATAAGTGACATCCTTAGTGAAAGTACTAATGGGGACAAGTAGGCTTTCACAATAAATATTTAGCACTGTCACACCTTTATCATTTTCATAATTAACTGAAAGATGTAGAGAACAGAAGATTATATTGTGCATATTTTTTGGTTGATTATGAGGATGAAATTTCATGTGATTTGGTAGATCAAAACTGCCTTAAAATGCCCTTTTCCAAAAAAAAGGATCTCATGCATGATTCAAAAACCATTAAAAATTCCAAGAAAGACACAACAGAAAATACTATTCAACCACTCTCTATCATTAACATATGAGTCCCAAAATGATATGTACATTCATCAAAGCTGTGTTTGACTGTGGTTTAGGAAATTTAACAGTGTCCAAGTTGAAGAAGGTTACATTGTCAATGCTGATGTCCTCCAAATGTTCTTCTCCGAAAATTGTGTGGATTTTGTCCAACTCCAGAACCCTGATGATCTATGAGCACTTGAAAGAGAATGGTCTAACTGGCTACCATAGGAAATACTAATTTAATGGTACATGTATAAAGCCCAGATTACAACACATGTTTGGATGGAAAACTTATAGTAATGGCTCATCAGTAACAAGTATCTGCATATTCAGACTGTATAGATCAATTCATCAACAAGGATTTATGAAGTGCTTATTCTTTGCCAAGTACTTTATTTAGCCCTGAGGATATGCCAATAGAGATCAATGTTCCCTCACCTAAAGAGCTTACATTCTATTGTGGGAATTCTAATATGTGCATATTATGTACATGCATGAATATATGTAGAATGTGTAAAAAATCAATAAGAAGTTACTTTGGGAGGGGGTAACCTGGCAATTGGGGAATTGTGGTGGATTATGAAAGGCTTTATGAAGAAGTTTTGTAGTCAAAAGAGTAGGAAGCAATAGAAAGACATTGAAAATTCAATTGAGTCGTGAAGGATGCCTGGTATTCCAAAATTTTTTGGTGAATATAAAGTGTGTTTCAAGCACAGGCACAGAGTACAAAGGTAAAGAAATGGAAGATGGAGTCCCATGTATGAAGAGTGAGAAAAGGGAAATAGAGAATAAGAAAATGGTGAGGATTATAAAGGGCTAGAGTGTGAAAAGTTTTAAATGTCCTAGGCAGTTTTATCTATGATCCCAGAGGCAAAAAGGCTACATGAGAGTTTGCTGTGTACATGCATGAAATGATCAGCCTTGGCCTTTAGAAAAAGCACTCTGGAACTTTGGAGGAAGAGCAATTGTAGTGGGAGGAGGTTTGAGGTAGGAGGACAGAGAAAGAGGTTATCAGAGAAATTCAGAGGAATGACAATGAATGTTTCACCTAAGGTGGTGATTGACAGCTTGGACAGAAGGAAAGGAATAAGAGAGAAATGATTGATTTGGCCACTAATTAAGGAAAGGAATAAGAGAGAAATGATTGATTTGGCCACTAATTATGGGTGTGGGGTGAAAAAACGTGAAGAGCCATCTTGGCTCTTCAACATTATGAATCTGGACAGTATCTTTAGTAGTAATAGGAAAGTTTGAAAGAAGGAAGTGTTTGAGGGAAAGGAGAAAGAATCTGTCTTTGGATATGCTAAGTATGTGATGCTTCTGCGACATCATGTTTAAAATAGGCAGTTGCCGATGTGGGCCTGGATTGCAAGAGGGAAACTTGGACTGCATATATCAGTCTTAGAGTCATCTGCATAGACATGACAACTGAATCCATGGGAGTGGATGATGTCACCAAGTAAGAGAATATAGAGAAAGGCAACCAAGGACAAGGCCTTAGGTTACTCCTAGAAGTAGAGGATGAGCCATAGATGACTAATCAGCAAGTGATATTATGAAGACTCATTCTAATAGGACCGAGGATAGAGCAGTGTCCTAAAAAGAAAGGAAAGTGTATTCAGAAGGAGAGAACAGTCAAATTCAGCAGAAAGGTCAAGGAGAATAAAGATTGAGAAAAGGTCATTAGAATTGGAGTTTAGAAGTTCATTGGTGACTTTGAAGAGAGGTGTTTCAGCTGAATGATGAGACTAAAGATGAACAACTGAGGATTAAGAAAACAGTCAGAAGGGGGAAGCTGAAACACCAAGTGGAGGTGGCTGACAAAGGGAGCAGAGACAGAGGACAATTATGGGATGACAGATCCTAGTTAGGGTCTTTGGAAGTTTCAGGGAGATTTCAACAGTCTTGTAGTCAAAAGAGCAGGAAGCAACAGAAAGACATTGAAAATTAAATAAAATAAGGGAATGATAGTAAACCTAGGCCAGCTTAGAGCTGAGCAGGAAGAGTGAGAGGCCTAAATTGCCTTTGAGAATTGATAAAGTGCCGTTAATGACTCCAAGCTTTTTAAGGAAAGAAAGGCAAAGGTTTTTGTTATGTTATGTTTTGTTTTTTAGGCAAGTGGGGTTAAGTGACTTGCCCAGGGTCACACAAGTAGTAAGTGTCAAGTATTTAGTCTGAGGCCAGATTTGAACTCAAGTCCTCCTGACTTCAGGCCCAGTGATCTATTCACTGTGCTACCTAGCTGCCCCTGCAAAGCTTTTTAATATCACCATTCTAGCAGTGTTGTTGCATGGCATTAAGCCATACAACACAAGAGTTTCTAATAATTAAAAATTAATATTAGACAGCAATGGAGAGGTACATGATAACTATAGGCAGGGTGTCACATATAACTAACAAGGAACTTTGAAGAATACATTTTAATATTAAATGATAAATGCAGGATAAAAAAAAGACAATAGGGAAAGGTATAGGTAGACAGGTAGCTATCCAGGGTGCTTCTCGAATACCCTTGCAATAATAGAGAAAAGGAAAGAAAGCCTCTTCCAGAACATTGGGTGGAATTCCTGGGAGAAATTTATGGGATGATGTAGACAAGAATCAAATGGAATAAATAGTCACAGGTGAGTTATGATCTACATCATTAGTCAGAGCTTCCATATCTATTATATCACAGATTCATTGGAGTATTTCATATAGTCACATTTCATATACACATACAAACACATACATACATACGTACATTGTGTGTGCATTAATGTGTGTATGTGAAGGAAATAAGTCTTTATACAGTACCTTCTCTTTGTCAGGCATTGTGCTAAGTGCTAAGTGCTTTACAAATTTTATTTCATTTGATCCTCACAAAAATCCTGTGAGGTAGGTACTGTTATCGTCCCCATTGTACAGTTGTGGCAAATAGAGATTGAGTGACCTGCTAAAGGTTATATGGTGTATAAGGGTGGATTTCCTGACACTTGGTCTAGTGCTCTGTGTACTGTGCTTTAAGTTGATAGAGAAGATCTAAAACTTCTCCAGATGTTTTAAAATATTAAAACAAACAATGAAAATGGCCATGAGAAATGATAATGTATTCAAAAGCAAACACAAAGAAGTGTATGACTGTCCTATCAACCTAATTTCAGCAGAGGACATTTACACACACTCACATACACACAGAAGCATACATTCTGTGAAAGTATAATCTTGGATCCCTTCCCTTCCATTACTAAAGGGCTTCTCAATACTTTTGTGTTGGTGTGAAAAGGGTTCTTTGATTAGTTGCTACACCCAAACAACAGTAAAGCTGATGGTATGAAGAGTCCCAGAACTTTTATTTGTGATTTGCAAACAAGGCTCTAATCAATTTGTTTCCTGTCAATTAACTCAAATGGCTCCATTGTCACCACATGGCTAAGACTCTCATACTCATGTCTATGACCATGCACAATGAGAAAAAAAGGGACAAAACAGCCGGCATCTCAGTGAGAGGAGGTGGGAAAGATCTCCATCCTACAATCCATACAGCCCTTTTGTAAAATGAAGTCTAGTAGTTTCTATATGCAGTTTTTGAATTATCAACTTATGTTAATATTTCCCTAGAGGACAGTTATTTAGAATTTAGAAAATTAAAACAACATAAACAGAAAAGAGAGAGCCAAAAAAAGGAATACAGAAATCCCATTCTCTGCCATCCCTTGAGAACAATTTAACATTTACAAGTCTATAGCATATTCTAAATCATCCTTTATTGTTAAACATGATATGTAGTTATTTGGACTCTTCCTGAATAAATTTTTTTCAGGAATGGGAATGGACTTGTGATATGAATTATGTTGTTTCCTTTGGGAAAATAAATTTTAAAAAACTGTCACATGAAATTTCTTGAAAAAAAAAGTGTAAAATACCTCTAATTGACAGATGGGCAGTGACTGCCACCTCTCCTCGAGGACTCTTCACCCAACAAGTGTAAGGGCCAGCATCTTCTTTTGTCGTGTCTTTGATTTCTAAGGTTCCATTTTGATGTGTAGTGTAATGTGGGCCTTCAAGCCTTTCAACTTTTGATGGCTTTTGCCTATTGATTATTAAAGTCATGAGTTAATTAAATGACTCAATTTTGCATTTTTAAATCAACTCACTCAAATTTGACTTTATTAAGGGGAGGGGTGATATTTTTAGTTTCTTTGTTTTAATTTCAACATCTAGTACAGCGTCTTCAGTACAGTACAGTACAGGCTGGTGAATGTTTGCTAATCATTGAATCATAGCCTTTTAAAGCTGTATTTCTCCTTAAACATCATCTATTCCAATCACTTCATTGAAAATATGATGAGATTAAGGACCAGAGAGAACAAATAACTTATCTTAGCTAATTATTCTAATGTCTAGCTTCTATAAATGGTGGATGGATACAATACTTGTTTCTCTCATTACATTATAAACTTCTCAAAGCAGGACAGAGGTTGGCCTATATTAAGAGCTCAATAAATCCTTTTTGTTTAATTTGCTGTATTTAAAAAAATATTCAGTTTTGGCTAAAAGGTACTAAATGGAACCCACCTGAAATGAAATGGTAAGTTAAGTTTCTTCAATTTCAAATCAATACTTTGGCGTGCCTTAGGTCCACCAGACAAATTTCCTGTTGCTAGGATCCCAGCCCCAGGGAAAACAAACAAGAAAACAGTAGGGTAACGGTGACCTCCTTATCTTGGGGAATTCATTTCCATTCTACAGAAAAATTAGTTCCCGATTGCTTGTGAAGATAAAGCATTTACTCTAGAGATATACTTGGGGGTCAAATAAAACCACAGACTCCATGCGATAAAACTGAAAATAGTTAAGACAGACTTCCCAGTTTGGAACTGCTTAGCAAGAAAGCACTGAATATCTCAACTTAAAAAGTGACATATGGCAGCAGTTTCATTAGGAAACCAAGGCACTCTTCAAACAGTCCTAGCTGTGGTTATTTGTATTGCCTTCCTCTCGGGATTGTGTAATACGCTTGTAGGATTATAGGTTTAGAACTAGATTGGTTCTTAGAAACCATGAAGTCTAACCTTCTTATTTTAGAAATAAAGGAAGAGGGGCAGGCTGAGGTTAGGTGACTTGCTTAGAGGGCCATGGCCAGCAAGTGTCTGGATGTAAATCAGGTCTTCCCAACTCCAAGTCCAGATCCCTACCCCTGGCACTTGTAAATATTTTCAGTCAGTTCTGCTCTTCAGAAAAGCTAGATTTCCTGTCTGGGATCACATGGTCCAGATCAATCAATCAATCAACAAGAATTAATTACATGTCAATTTGTTATATGGGCTGACTCTCTATAAGAGTATAGGGAAGGAAACTGGATAAAACTAGGAAGATGTAAGGAATAGAAGACATCAATAAAAAACTAATTTAAAAAAAAAACAATTGATTATGTGTCTCCTGTGTTCTAGGAACAAAGTATGAAACATTGACCACCCCAAAGGAATATCTGAGGTCTAGAGTTGGAAGGCCTCTAACATTTCTGGTCCATCTCACTGTTCTTGGTTTTGATAACCCAAACCCTGTTTGTGTAACCAAGTCCAGTTTCAAATCCTGCCACTTCCACTTATGAGTTTGACCTTGAGCAGACCCTTTAACAAGCTGGGTCTTGGTGTCCTCAATTATAAAATAAAGAAGTTGAATTGAATGACCTCTAAGTTCCCTCCTGACTATATGTCTAAAATCTTGTGATTATTATTTTTATTAAAGTTCAAAGGCAAAGTCATTTGTAGTTCTTAAACACAGTCGTTTGGAAAAGTTTAAGTCAATATTTTATTAAAATGCTTGTGTTGTTGATGGTTTAATAAAGAGTTAGCCAGTGGGATGTGATTTGTTGTTAGGGGCAAGTGGACCAAAAGTACCCAGTCTCATCTATCTCCTTTAACAAGTATAGTGCTATTTCCTTAGAACAGAACATAATGGGGAAGGTTAAAAAATTCTTCAAACTGGTTTCTCTTAGCTTCATTTGAATACCAGGTGTGAGATGGGCAGTCCTAGCAGAAGGCAACATGATAGCACCAGTGAACAATACCAGCTCTGCAACATCAGAGGTGAAAGTTTCCCCTCTACATGACTGTCTTGCTTTTAGTGCACATATTCTTCATGTGATTTCTATTCAAGTCTATTCTTCCCTTTTAGGGTATACATATTTGTGGGAGAGTGAGAACAAATTCAATGGAGAAAATGCTCCAGTGTTACATATTTTACTATAATACTACTTTAAATACCTTGGTTGTGCAATAAGAATATTTTCTGGATGAGTAGTAAGAATAAACATTTGGTGAGCTCTCATGAAGCCTGAAGGGATTCTGACCTATGATGTTGCAGTGTGGACCCTCTAGTCTGGAAACTACCTGAGATTTTTAATTTCTGTACAGTATCCACTTCAAAGCATATTCACAAGCATCTTCTCATAATAATTTTATTAGTCACCTCTTTCCTCATTTCATTGGAAATGGTGTGGTCAGTAAACCCCTTCCCTGCAGGGGAAGGCTACAAGTCTCTTCAGCTGCCTTTTAACCAATGTCTTTCAGGCTCTTTCTTGTTCAATTTCTATAGAGCTCTTCTTAGCAAGGATGATAACATAAGAAAGAAGAAGTCCAGATTACATCTACTCTTTCATTTCTATCCTTGGCCTATGTCATCTGGCTCCCTCATTTCATATCTCATCTGACTGTAGGCTAGAAACCCACCCTAGTTCTTTGACTTTACTAGACTTCCTGGGCAAGGGCAGGGTACCAAGTCACTCTTTCTTCAAATGGAAATGGAGCTTAGTAATAATGGACTGAGGAAATCTCTTTTAACCATTTCATTTGCCTATTTAATGTTTTACTTTTTGCCTCAGTTTGATCTTCTGTAAAATAGAGATACCTACCTCATAAGGGAGCAGGGAGGATGAAATTAGTTAAGTGTAAAGTGCATAGCACAGTGCCTGACATCTAGTAAGCACTATATGAATATTAATTGCTATTACTAACATTATCATTATAATTATCATTAATTGACATTTTGTGGTTGTAGTTACTTTAAAAGAGCTGAAATAGTTGAATAGGGCTAAAAAAACAGGTCTTTGACCTTTTCCTCACCCTCTCAGCAACAAATCAAAACCTGATCTCTTTCTAATCTCCTTACAATTCTTAAGTTTATCATAAAATATTTTAAAATCATCATTAAAATTCAACCCAGAGGTGGTAGTTAATTACATTTCTACTATATTTACTTCTTAATCTTAAAGGCATTGAGTATATATATATATTATAATTGTCCAAAAATGATGGATGGTAGATGTGTCATGCTCTCCAAACAGTGCCCTTTTAAGGAATAATCAAACTTACCAAGTAATCACTGCAGGAGGTGAGGCAAAAACCTCACAAAATAAGAAAGCACTGTAACCAGCAACAGAAGCATATCCTTCATCATCTGGGGTTTGCATCAATGGAGAAATATCTACAAATCAAAGCAGAATTGAAATCCTATGTTTTGCCTTCTAACTTAAAATATAATTGAAAATCATGTAGCCTATGTCATTTACTTGTATATTTTTTTAAATATAGAAAACATTTGTGTAATATAATAAATGCAACTTATAAAAGAATGTAAGAGAAGATAGCTACCTATATTTTAATTGTTAAATCAGAATCACCTTCTAAATGAATGAAGATTTGGAAGCAACTGTTTTTCTTTGACACTATATGCCCAAGGACAATAAGAGAAGAACTGTGTCATATGCATTGAGTTTTATTCTTTTCCGCTTATATGCTTCTGCTATTAAAATGCAAGCTAGATTCATTAATTAAAGAAGAATGTGCTGTTGCTAAGTTTTCTTTACAATATTCCTATTACACACTGCAATTGTTTTAGAGGTGCACTTACCTAAAACATTGATATTGGCAGTAGCAAGAATTTTGCCATGTACATTTGTGGCTTCACACTGGTACACACCAGTATGATTCAACTGCATATTGGTGAAACTGATCTCTCCTGGGAAGAACACAATACCAGGCAAGGGGTGCTGTTCTGAAAGACATTAAGGTATGTAACCTCAATAAATAAGGATACTTACAATTCCTTTATCAATGCTATCCTACAGTATTTTTAAAAAATACGCATGAGAGAATTCCTAATGTTTCTCATTCAAATCATCCCAAAATCTTCTAACATATTCCTAGTTTTCTTCTCTTAATTAAGTAAGGCCTTCTTGACCAATCCTTCCTTTTGGTGGCCTCCTGTCACTCTGGAAGAATAAAACAGACAGAAAATCACCAATCCCTTCTATAACAAGAAGTTTCAAAAAATCTCTGTCTTTACTCTGTATTTACTAGTTGTATTTATTCTAATCTGCTAATATTTAGCATTTAGTCTCATGCTTAAAAATCTCGGCTAGCCTCTTCATCCATTGCCTATAGATAGTAGAATGTAAAGTTTTTGAGGGCAAGGAATGTTTCATTACTGTATTTGTATCTCTAGCACCTAACACAATTACTGACAATCAGTAGCTGATTAATAAAGGTTATTGGTGTAAATATGTATTCATATATAAATTTGTATTTGTCTGTAATATATACACATATATACATATTTGTAGGTATACCTACACAAAATGTACGTATACACATATAGGTATGTTGTATAGACATATACATATGTGTATATATCTATATATGTGTGTGTATATATATGTACTATATATGTATATCTTATTATAATGTGTATATGTGTTATATGAATATGCTTATATTTGTGTGTAAATATATACATACCAATGTATGTATGTGTGCATATGTGTATATTATATGTAGTGTATGCATGTATCTGTGTATCTGTATTTTATAGAATTTAACCAGGTGAGATTTGAACCTAGGTCTTCCTGAATCTATGCCTAATACTCAATTATACAAAACTTTTCCTTCCCTTTATAAAATTGAGTTTAACTAATTGAATTCCATAAAGATTGAAACTATGGTTGCATTTCAAGATCATCATTATTCTGGATCTCAACCACCTCTCCAACATTAGCATCTAGAATTACTTAACATGCCTGGACTTCCAGCTAGAAGATTTGTACCCATCGTCTGCTCTATTAGCATTTCATCAGTCAATGAAACGATCAATGAACAAATAATTATTAAGCATTTACTATATGTCAGACACCATAATTTCTATTCTCAGGTCCTTCACATTTCAGTGAGGAGAGATTCCATATCTTCTGGCTCCATTTCTGATGCCTTCAAACCTGCCCATGTCTCCATCATCCTCCAAGAAATCCCTCATTTGATCTACCCGTACCTAAACCATCATTTCCTTTTTGTGATTTTACTTCTCCAGAAGGCCTTCAACAAACCATATGTATACCCTTTTCTCTCTCATCTTAACTAAACTCATCTTAATTATAACTGGCTTCTGATCTCATAAATCAACTGAAACTGTCCCTTCCAAATTTATCATTTAACTCTTAATTACCAAATTCAATTATTTGTTCTCAATCCAGATCCTTTTTTACCTCCCTACTGTATTCATTACTTCATCCTGCATACTCATACCTTGATAGAGTTATTTCATTTTATTTTGTTGGCATGGTATCCCATTTCTCCTCCTATTATTTGTCTGATTTTTATGTCATTCTCTTTTATTAGATTTTCATCCATACCACACCCTCCAACTGTATGTGTCCTCCAAGGCTTTTTTCAGGGATCTCCTCTCTTTTAGTTTTATGCCATATCCTTAAGTGATCTCATAAGTTCTCATCTTATCCATAATCATTTCTATGAAGATCATTCCCAGATCTATATATCCTGCTCTATTCTCTCTCCATAAGTATAGGCCACCATCCCCACCTAAATCTTGGGTGACTTTAACTGGGTGATCAACATACATCTGAAATAACTCATTGTCCTTCCCCTCACACTTTCTAAACTTTTCTATTATTGTTGTGAGTACGACCATCCTCCAATCATGTAGGCCTGCAAATTCTACACCATCCTCTGGTCCTTACTTTTACTCATGCCAAATATTCACTGTGTCACATCTTGTCATTTCTACTTTCAAAATCTCTCTCATAAACATCATCCTCTTTCCACTCACTTAATCACAGTTCTATTTCAGTTCCTCATCACCTCTTGCCTAGACAATTGCAATAGCCCTCTGATTGGCCTCCATGTTTCAAGTCTCTGCCCCTTCCAATCCATTCTCCACTCAGCTGCCAAAGCAATTTTCCTAAAGCTCAGTGCAGGTCTGACCACGTCAGTTCCTTGTTCAAAGAGATCTAACATCTCCCTATGTCCTCTAGGATCAAATACAAAGTCCTATAATATTCTTCATTCCTCCTTACTTGTGTGTACATGTGTATGTATGTATATGTGCACATATGTATATGTATATTCACAAACATTAATGCATACATATGCATACCTACATATGTATGTATATATCTCTATACATGCATGTATGTAGTACATGCATACACATATACACAGATGCATGTATATACATGTATATCTATGTATATTATACCAAGATATAATATGAGAGGTATGGGTGCCTATATGTGTGTGTGTGTGAATGTATCAATACCAATGTACATATGTATATATTGTGCATGTATTTTGTAGAATTTTAGCTTTCCCAAGATTAGACCAGAAGTACATAAGGATATAAGTATATATACAATATATGTGTATACGCATGTGTGTATGTATGTATGTATATACACATCTATACATCTATATACACGCATAGATATATCTATAGATATCTATATTTATACATCTACATTTATACATTTAGTTAATTTGTATGTTGTCTCACCTTTCTTTATATTTCCAGAACTTAATAAAGAGCCTAGCACCTAATGTTTCATGACTTTTTGTTGACTGACTAACTGAACGGAATAAAGGTTGTATCTGAGAGAAACAGACATTACCAAAAAACAAACAAACAAACAAACAAACAACTCAGTTTGAAGGGAAAGATGAGAGTTTTGCTTTGTTTCTGTTGAATATGGATGTCTCCAGAACATCATGTTTGAAATGTTCAGGAGGTAGTTGTTGATATAATCTTGAAGGCAGTAGAGAGAATGGAGTTGGTTACATAGGTCTGTGAGTCATCTGTGTAGATATGGATGATAATTAACACAATGGGAGCTAAGGAGGTCACCAAAGGAGCATATTATAATTTGCATTACAATTATCTGTCTAAGTCCTATTTCCATCTGCTAGATTTTAAGCCTATTGATGCAGGAAATATATATTATTAATATGATCTCCTTCCCAGTGTATAGCAAAAGGAATTCATAAATAGGCACTAGGAAGATGTCAAATACATGAACGAATAAATTAATGCAGCTTGAGGAGGACTCATTTTTTCCCTTTCTTTGCATCCCCAATGCTTAACACAGTGTCTTGTACGTTGTAAATGCTCAATAAATGTTTGCTGGATTGAAATTAATTAATACCAAGCTTCTTGCTCTTCTCCAAGACCACTGTACTCCTGTTTTTATGTGTCCTTGATGCTTTCCTTACCTCAAATGATGCCGCGCCCTCCTTCATTATCTACCTGTCCAAATGCTACCTATCCTTTGTATCCCAGCTAAAATTCTACCTCCCTTCAGTAGCTACAATTCCTTACATTGCATTCACACCTTTCTCTGAAATTTTAGAGTCCTTGCTTTGATATTTAACTATTTAATACATATGAAGCACCAGGAAGTCAAGGTCTATGAGTCTCAAACCCTTTTCAGGTATTGTTTTATGCATAACAGAGTGCTATGATCCACAGTCCTTTTGAATGAAATAGGATCAATTTGAATTTTAATCAAGATGTGAAGTAGAGAAATACATACACACATATACACATGTGTAGACCTGTATCTGTGCATACATGCACACATATGTCCATATGTTTAGACATAAACATGTACATATGCACTCAAGTGTACATATGTATATATACACCAAATGTCTTGACATCTTGAGCTATCACTCTATTAATTAAAAATCCTGTGTATACAGTTGTCTCCAAATTAAGTGGGGTTAAACTATTACCAAAGAATGAATAAAATATGTTTGTTTGTTTTCCCCACTGAAACAGATCTGTTGAAAGTGTAAATGCTATAGCCATTTTGAAACACTAACTTCTATGAGGCATAGAGATCACCATAGGATTCATCATAAAGGACACTGAAGCCCAACCTCTTTACCATATATACAAGGATCTGAGGCTCAGAGACAATGACTTTGTCTAGTGTCACACACACATTCAGCATCTCAGGCATGATCTGAACCCAGGTCATCCTGACCTCAAATCTAGTTTCTCAAGAGTTTACGTATCCATGGATTCCTCCTCTATTCTTCATGGACTGAGAACTTCATATAGAGTCTGAAGAAATGGGTTTGAATCTCAGCTGTGGTACTTACTATCCCCATAGCTTTAGGGATAGTAACTTTTAAAGGTCCCAGATTCTCTCTTCATAAAATTTCTAAGGTTCCTTCCAGCTTTTAGGTTCAAGATATTTGATTTTATTATTATTTTTAAATCATGAAACCATTTCTGGATTCATTTATTCAAAAAACCATTCATTGAACATCTATTCTTTTCTGAGCATTGTACCAGGCACTGGGGGAATTACAAAGTTTAGATAAGCTTTCTGCCCTAATGGATCTTATAATCTAATAGAAGAAGAACAGTCAGAAACAGACAACTAGAATCAATTAATAAATCAATAGTTGCTATGAGGAAGCATTTATCCAGATGCTACTATATGTAAAATGCTTGCAATAAAAAGCTAAAAATGAAACAACTCCTGCCCTAAAGGAATTTTCATTCAACAATTTAAAATATACAATTCATTAAGAGGACATCAAAACAATTGTAAAGAAAGGGGCTATATAAGATTTTTGGCAAAGTTCATCATCACCAGGGAGCTATCAGTGTTCACATAAAAGGCAGTATTTGCATTAAGATTTAAAGATCAGGTACAAATTCAAGAAAAGACAACTAAAGTCAAAATTTTCCCCCTTACTCAACATCTGTAGAGAGAAAACAAATCTTCTGTCTTCCCTCTGAAATGATCTGTGGTTTAGTTGGCATAGAGCCTGTTTGTACATAGCTGCCTGTATGGTGTCTCCTCCCTTTGACTATGAGTTCCTTGAGAACAGGGATTGTCTTCTTCCTTTGTATAACCTTAGCATTTAGCACAGTGGATGGCACTTAATAAATGCCAGCTGACAGACTGCCTGACGGACAAATGCCCATCTGCATTTCCAGAATTATATCTTATATATTTTGAAAGGCCCATTGCTTTATTAACACAGGTTTTCCATAATAATAATAATAATTATCTTGCTTCAAAAATCACCATGGCTAAAATTGATGATCCATCTTCTGGTGATAATATGCCATACTGCACCTCGTCAGGCAAGTCCTGGTGGACCAGGTACCTAGTCCACCACTGATAATCCACAAATCCTTTGCAATACGTTAATCCCCTCTGGGGTATATATTCTACTTCTCTCAGGGAGACCTCCATATCACAATAAGTAACCTCTTTGAGAGCAGAGAATGTTTCATTGTTTGGATTTGCACTCCTAGCACCTAATACCTGTTGGCAAATACATAATACATAATACATTTTTTTTTGCTTATTTGCTAGTTTGACTAATCATCTTTGTAGAGTGAATAATTTATATGCCTAAAGATAAGTTCTAAGTTTGTGCATTTTTTTTAAAGTAAAATAAGTCCAACTCTTTTGCCTTTCCCCATAGGAATGGATCATTCTGCATAATGTTCTAGACATGCTCTTCTCCTCTTTGTTTAATAAATATACATAAGGACTCAAAATCAATAAGCATAATGTTAAGTCTACACATGGTTCAATATAAATTTATGTACCACCTTGTTTATCAATTCAGTTTTATAGCTTGCTTATTCATCACTATGATAAGAGCATTGGATTGGAAATGGTGTGACACATAATAGAAATGAGGCCAGGCCCTGCCAGCCTGACCTCATGACACTTACCTTCAAGTTGTAGCTAGGACACTACATAAATAATCAATATAGTAAAAAAAAAAACCAGAAAAACACATTAAAGAGGTACAAAGCGTAATCCATGAAAGGTGGCATGAATAAACAAATTCTTCCCAAACCACATTAATTGTTTGCTTTGGGTCTTCAGACTTGGGTATGATTTTGACAGATGGAGATGAGGCAGGTCACTCCACGAACAGGAAACCGCATTGGGAAAATCACAAAGGTTTGAAGGCTTGGAACATATATAAGGAATCATAAGCAGTGAAGACTGCCTGGTGTATGAATTCAGAAAGAACAGAGGCTCAAATTCACAGCCCCAGAACCAAGTGTTAAACCTAGTAGTTTAAAATATAATTGGGAAATATTTAACAAAATAAAGACAGTAAAACATAGATAATGTTTGTTTGTGGTTTTCTAAGTCAATATGTACCCAAGAGATCTGTTTCTATTTTATTGAGTTTGATGCTACTTATGAAAAGGCATGATAGAAGATAAGGTTGGCAAAGTGGGTTAGTGGCATGCTATGAAAGGTTTTTAATGCCAACCTAATGAGTTTGTATATTTCACTTGGTAAACAAGAGGAGACCAATAAAAAAAAATATTTTGGCCAGGACAGTCATTATACCAGGTATGTTATGTATCTCATCATGGTTTAAAAGACAGATTTCAGATGAAAGTGACTAGGAATGGAGAGATCGATGAGGAGGCAACTTGCCTAGTCCAGGCTGGGTTGTGATAAAGGCTTGAGTTTGGCTACTGGAAGTTGAAGTAGAAAGAAGGCACAAAGCAAAAGATAATTCATGGTAGAATCAATAGGATCTGGAAACTCATAAGATTCAGGAGGTGAAAGGAATGGAAATGAAAACAAATACTGAACTTGTGAATCTTGGTCAAGGGAAAAATAGTATTATCAAGAGTGATGGCAAAGTCAGAAGCTGCAGTCTATATTATAGAGAATCAGTTACTTCAGTCTGGGATAGGAAACTTCAGAAAATACTAACCTGGCCTAATCTTGAAATCAGATTTATTTATCTGACTAAATACACTGCCTGAGTTCGATTCATCCTACTAAGCTATCAGCTTCAAGGATTGTTAATCGGCAAGACAATTTAATAGCACTTACTATCAGCGGGTAAGCCATTGATTTTCCACTCTATTTCAGGGGTTGGTTCTCCCTCGGCTTCACATAGCAGGATCCCATTGTTCCCAATGCTGTACACAGCACTTTCAGGTTTCTTTGTCCAGCGAGGAGGTTCTGGCAATAGAAAAAAACACCAAGAAAACAAGTTAAAAATGTCTTGTTGTCAAGACTGGAAATCCCAGGACCATCCAGCAGATGGCAGACTGTATCAAGTATTTCCTGGCAGAATTTTTTTTCCCCTTTCCCAATAGCACCACGTAGGAGTGGTAAGCTAAATATAACTTATTAAAGTAGCATTTTATAATTTTTTGTGATCATTAAGTAAAACAAAAATGACTTACTAAAAATATGTAAATATGGTCATTTTGCTTGTTTCTAAAATTACCTTTCCTCATCAGCGAAGAGCTGGAGGTGGAATAGCCAGATGCTATGCTGATTTAGTTCTACTGTATGGTTCTGGAAGTCTGACAAACAGGACACGTTCCAAAATTTGTGTTTTCAGAAAAGTCTTCTAAATGGCAAAACACTTAAAAATATAGTAAGATTGAAAAAGCTTTCTTATAAATCTTATACAATTTACTAAATAATTTTTCTGGAAGACATTTTTTTGTTTTGTTTTGTTTTTTTGTTTTTCTTCCAAATCACTCTGGCATATACACAGAGAGCTGGCCACTAAGCCAGAATAACCTGGGTTCAGGTCCCATCTCTGACCCAAATTTTCCAAGTGGCTATAGACAAATCAGGTAACTTCTAAGGGTGCTAGCAACTCTCTAAGACTGAACATTTCACAGAAGGTGCCAAACTTCATTGGTAGAGAATATCTGTTTTTCAGAATTTTTTTATGTCAAGGAAATCACAGGTACAATTCCTAGCTTTTCTCTAGAATTAAGTAATATAATGATTTTAGATCTTGGTATGAATCAAAATGAAACTTTTTTTTCTTTCATTGCCAATAACATTGTCATATTTTGTAACCTTGAATATAGCACTGTGTCAGTAATAAAAAAAATGAAGAGTTAAAGTGTGAATGATGTGGTTTCTTTTGAAAATTATATAATTTATGAATATTTCTTCCCCTCACCCCATGCATTAATGGATGGCTATTCCCCATGAAACTGAGCTTTTACTCTATAAGAAAAGTCACTAGGAATGGAGTTAAAAAAAAACCACTGAAGACAAAATTATTTACACCCACAAAAAAGGAAAGTGACAGAAATATTACATGAAGTAAGAGTGTACAAACAGCCCTGGTAAATTAAATTCTGAGCAAGAAAATTTATTTTGTAATTGTCTCCTAGGGTGTGCATATGATGTTTTAATTTTTCACGTTCCAGTTGAAAAAAGGTATGCCTTTGTAAATTGTGCATTCAAAAGCTGTACATTTGGTAAACCATAAAATGGCTAACATGGAATCTCCCTAACTCCCAAAGGCATTTTATATTCAGCATCACTCTTACTAGTCTCACATCTGAGTTAAATGAAAAATGCCTTTTTCTTGATTTCAGTCTTTTTCCAAATAATGACATTCCATTAAATGTAAATAAATTATTAATTCAAGCAATGTATAAAATTTTTACTATTCACAATATAGGGCTCACTAAAACCTAATGCTTCCAGGAGTTGGCATGATAAAATGATCTTCTCATTACAATACATGCTAGGGAATAGGTAACAAAAGTACAATATAAGTCAACATATATTTCAAGGTATCTTTGCCAAGATGAAGTCATTCCCATCCCTATTCCATTCCATTTGGTAATTCCACTTGTCTATCAGTATCTGTTGTAGGATAGCACAATCATCAAATTTTAGAACTGAAAGAAACTGTAAATCTCATAGAGACTAAGCTTTTCATTTTATACATGAGGAAACTTCAGAGACATGAAAAATCTTGGCCATATTCTTTACACATGGATAGGGCAGAGCTGAAGCAGAGTTCAGATTTTCAGATTCATGAGCAAATATTTGTCCACTTCACCCAACGGACAAAGATATGTAACAAACATAAGATTTATAGGCTCATATGCCTAGAGACGGAAGAGATGTTAGAAGTCAGAGATCCATTGCCTCATTTTACAGATAAGGTAACTGAGAGGTCAAGTATGCTTTCCAGCAAGGTCACACAGCTAACTTAGTTCTTATCTATCTCACTGCAGGGTATATAGCAAGTAATTTTGGAATTATCATATCACAAACACACCAGAAAAATAATGTTTTTCTCTAATTTTTTTATCCCACTGTTCTCCATTTTTAACATTTACATGTGTTGAGTGAAACATATTTAATTTTTCTCCTTATATTTCTTCATAGTCATCTCCTCTGCCTGTGATACACAGGGTACAGAAACACACATATACATGCAAATATATGCATACATATGTATGCAGATACAGATATATTCTACTATCTCTCTGTATACACCACACACATTAAAAACATTTTTTTTAATATTCACTTTGTCTTAATTCTTGACACAATGTTGATCCAAAGTGATACAACATAATATTATTGTTGTTGCTGAAAGAACAAAACATGTTTCATTCTAACCCAAGTCAAGACATAAATACATTATATCACCTAATGTTTGTGAAAGGATAGAGAGTAGAGATGTGTTTGAATTGGTGTAGAGAAAGCCTGTGTAATGATATTTTCTATCAGTGAAGAATAGCACCTTCTGTGAAATGTTTAATGTTAGAGCATAACCTAGAACCCTTAGAAGTTTAGTGATTTGTCAAAGATTTCATGGACAATATGTGCTCAAAAAACTTGAACCCAGTTCTTCCTGCTCAGGAGTCAGCTCTTTATTGATAATGCCAAAGTTTCCTGCAAAAGACACACTGTTCTTTCAGACAAATGATTTACTAAGTTGTATAAAATATACAATATCTGATTTCATTAAACAAAGTTCATTTAAAAAATATATATACACTAGACGTTGTATTAGAGAGAAGGAGAAGGGGGTGAGAAGGGGTGATTGAGGGAGGATATAGGGGCCTTATCTAGGTAGCAGATAATTTGTGTCATGGAAAGAGCTCCAACCATGGAGTCAGGAAGACCTGAATATAAATCTGGCCTCAGATATGTCCTAGCTCTATGACCCCAGGCAAGTCTTTTAACTTCTGTGCTCAGTTTCTTCATCGATAAAATCATGATAGCATCATCTACCTCACACATGGTTGTTATATGGATCAAGTAAGCTAACATACGTAAAGAATTTTGCAGACCTTTGTGGTGGTGGTGGTGATTATAGTTGTGGTGGCGGTGGTGGTGGTGGCAGTGGTAGTAGTAGTAGTAGTAATATGGAAGGCAAAAGCTGCTCTCTAGTACTCATAGAAATGTGTCCTATGCCCAATTGCAATCCGTTCTATGCTGTAACTTGTTAAGGAAAACCCTCCTCTCTGCACTTTTTGCTCCAGTTTATCTGATCACATCCCCTGCTCAATAAACTCCAGTGTTTCCTTATTGCCTTTGGCAACAAATACAAAATGCTCTGTTTTGATATTTAAAGACCTTCATAACCTAGTCCCCTTCTATCTTTTTTTGTCTTCTTGGATCTTACTCTGCATCATGTATTCTCTCATCCAGTGATGCTGTCCTCCTGGTTAATACATGAACAATATACTCCATCTCTCATCTACAGAAATTTTCTCTGGCTCACCCCCATGCCTGGAACACTGTTCCTCTTCCATTTCAATTGCTAACCTCCCTGCCTTCCTTTAAGTGTCAACTAAAATCCCACATTTAACAGGAAGCCTTCCCCAACTCCTCTTAATTGTAGTGACTTCTCTCTTTTAATCATTTCATATTTATCTTCCATATAGCTTATTTTGTACATATAATTTTACATGTTGGCTCCCCCACTAGACTGTAAAATCCTTGAAAAAAGGGTTTCTCTTTTACCTACTTTTGTATTCCTGTTACTTACCATAGTGCCTGACACACTTAATAAATATTTACGATTGACAGATTATCAGCACCAAATTCCCCCCAGAAATGGAGTATTTCTACTTCTATACTTGAGGAACTGATCACAGTGGAAATCACTAGTTGGGTAGACAGAAGCATGGTAAATGATGGTACCAAGAATCTTGTAATGTAGTTGAATGAAACTGAAGAAATGCGTTCCCTACCATTTGTCCTGAAAAAGCTTACAACTTGAGTACCAGGAAGTGCAGGAAATGGCATTCTCTCTCTCTCCCCTTCCCCACTCAGAAAGTTGTCTCCTTTCCCAAGATTCTCACTAGGTCTCAATTAACATTCGGATCCTCATTTTTAGAACAAACACATTCAGCAGGATTACACAAATTAATGAAGTTAATGTGTGTATGCATGTGTGTGTGTGTGTGTGTGTGTGTGTGTGTGTGTGTGTGTGTCTGTTATCTTAATGCTTGGGTGCCATTGTAAATTGTATGGCTTATAGACATAGGATCAAAGTTGTAGAATTTGATGAATTTCCAACTTTTCACTTTTCAAATTTATTAATGAGTGATAGAAAGCTTAAAAAAAAAAAGAAAGTCATTTTTCTTGTTTAATGAAGGGCATTTGATTTCATAGTGGGTACTTTTTTTTGGGGGGAGTGGGAGAGTTGGAACAATTTCATGCTACTTTCCTAGTGGTTTGAGAGGTATAATTATGTACCAATTTTAGGCTCATTCTACCCTTTTCTTCTGGTATCATGGACTTCTTCCTCATGGCTGCTGTGCACCTTTTATCCAATTTCCCATCATGCCCCATGTAGGGCAATTATCATATCCACACAATATGCCTTTAGATAAAATTCAGCCATTTGTACTCAAAAACTCAGTTTTTGTTTTATTTGAGGTGAGTTACTTCTTGTCAGGTTATGATTAATTTATCTAAGTGTCATATCAATAGCAATAATAAATATTGTGTTCCACTCACATGTAGCTTCAACAAAGTACCAAAAAATATTTTCATGTCTTTAATGAAAATGCCCTGACATTTTACTTACAACTACTATAGAACTGCATACATTTTACATTTGCATGTAGTTTTAAAATCTTGGTCAGATGATTGTATTTGAGTTTTTTGTCTAAAAGAAAAAGGGATAACCTAATACAATAGGTGTCTTTGTAAAATCACAAGGGATTGTAAGGAAATGGACTTGGTGGTGAAGTCCAATTGGAATTTTGCTATACAGTTAATCTTCATTCTTTTTTTTTCCTGGAGGGGGGATGGGCAGGGAAAGAATAGAATAAGAAAGATAGAAGATATCCATCAAAAGTAAGTGCATCCCTCTGCTGCCCTTCCATATGATTAATGGCAGCATTTATTGATTTCAGACTTTAGAAAAAAGAGGTCTTTTTAAATTCTGTCTGGCTTTTACTTGGATTTGTGAAGCAGAGCTCCTGATACATAGAACCAAGGGACACCTATAGTAGTTTTTCTTTGAGAAGAAGGATTTAATGATTCTCATAAAAACACTATTTACATCTCAATAAAGTTAATAGTTGTTTTATGAATAGTGGAGATAATTTGTTCAAGAAGCCTATGGGAACATAGAATCCTATGGTCAACATTTTGAATTCCTTAATTAATTTTGCATTCAAGATATGTTCTTTCTTCTTATTTCTTTTTTTTTTCTGGTAACTCCTGTAATTCTTTTGAAAGATTCAGTTTTACAGTCAAGAAAACCATGGCCAGATTGTTAAAATATTCAGCTACAGTAGCACAGTTCCAGACCATCTGGAAGAATTTCTAATAGTCAGCAACTTGGAGGATCGTAGCAGTGAACAATTACCCATGTCTGGAATTTATATGTGCACGCATATCTAAGCAAGAGAAAATATTCATTTTGTACAGAGTATCACAGTCTGGCAATGTGATTGTCCATTAGAGAATCCTAAAATGGGTGGAGAGAATACTAATGCAAAGACTTCCTAACCCTCTCTCTCTGGATTTTTTTTTCTGAAGGTGAGTGAGTATGATTTCACACAAGAATAAATGGCTATTAGCAGACAGTGGTTTGGTTTTGAATGTGTTTACCCTCATGTGCCTGATTTTGTTGTTGTGCCAAAAAAGAAAAACACAAACAAAGTCAAACAAAGCTGATGCTCCCTGGTCTGGTTGTCACCCAGTCTATAGCACTTTATCTGAGGGTAAACACTAGGCTGTGACATCAAAATAACATTTATTTTGGAAACAACGAAATTCTAGAAAGTTGATGCTATTTATATTTTAAATTATGAATGCAATTTGCCATTTTACCTTAATAAACTCAAAATATTAGGCCAATCCAAATGGTTAAATTAGATTGGCTTTCTTTATTTTTTTTTAATTAGGAACTACATGTAAGATCCCAAGCAACAGTTTCCCAGCTGAATACAACAATTCCTTTCAATAGCTTTGTCTTCATATTAAAAAGAGATATATGTGAGGCCACTATCCAGATGACTATTTTTTGCAGTTAACAAAATCAGATATAGCAAAAACCTTTACATGGATATACTGACTTAAATTATCAGGTTGAGTAACTTCAAAAAACAAAGTCACAAGATGATTAGGGAACCTTTTTTTTGGCTCTGCAGACAGTTAAAATGCCTAAATGATTTCCACTCTTGAACCAATATTAATGGATGATTCATTATGAATTTACCAAAATTTAACTAGACATCTATTTACCAAAAGACTCAATTTAAGTAAGGGAAAACAAATCTATTTTTTTTCTTTTTCATTCTTTGTAAACATTTTCCACCCCAAAATATATCTCAGTCAGCTCAATTCTGTTAAGCTCTGGTTAGCATAGTAAACAGCACTCAGAACTCTTCTTGTACTGCTTGTAATATGAAGTGTCATTTGTTTTCTGTGTTTCTCTTTATGATAGTTACTTTAAAGAGAAGAAGAAGAAGAAGAAGAAGAAGAAGAAGAAGAAGAAGAAGAAGAAGAAGAAGAAGAAGAAGAAGAAGAAGCACAAAGAGCATGAACACATGGCATTTCCTCAGTATCTCAGTTTCCACATCTGTAAAAGAGGAGTTTGGACTGGATGGGCTTTATGGCCCTTTCCAGCTCTAAAGCTATTACTGTAGGATCATATGATTCATACTGCCACATACCGTTTAAGTCTCTAAACATTAAACAAATAAGGGTATTACTGAGTAGAAAGAAAACAAATAAATAAATGAATGGATGATTTTATGGATGAATGAATAAAATAAGTCTAAAATAAGTCTACTTTCTAAATTTCTTTAAGAATATCAGCCCACTGAGATACATTACCCATTCTTAAAAAAAAAAATTAGTACTCAAAGGGGCTGCAGGGACCATGAGGTCCAATGCCCTCATAGGAAGTCTACAGCAGTTAGGTTACTTACCCAAGGCAAACAATGAGCTAGTCCCACAGCTGACACTAGAAGATAGCTCTTCAAGCTTTTGGTGAGGATTATGGACCTCTTACAGCCTTTGAGTCCATACAATGGAGGTTCATTCTCACTATGCAAATGGTAAAAGGCATTTTGTGGAATGACCCCACAACAGTCCTATCCTAAACCAAACTCTAAAAATTGTAGTGGTAAGGAGTTGAATAAAAATTTAAATATGATTTTTTTTTCCAAAGCAAAATGACTCTGAGGTACCACATCACACCTATCAGATTGGCTAACATGACAAAATAGGATAATGAGAAATGTTGGAAAAGATGTGGTAAATTTGGTATACTAGTGTATTGGTGGAGTTATGAACTGATCCAACCATTCTGGAGAGCAATTTGGAACTATGCCCAAAGGGCTATAAAGTTGTGCATACCCAGCAATAGCACTTCTAAGGTTGTATCCCAAAGAGTTCATAAAAATGTGAAAGGACCCACATGCACAAAAACATTTATAGCAGCTCACTTTGTTGTGGCAAAAAAACCCTGAAGTTGAGGGGATGCCCATCAATTGGGGAATGGCTGAACAAGTTGTGGTATATCAACGTAATGGAATACTATAATGCTATAAGAAATGATGAGCAGGCAGTCTTCAGAAAAACCTGGAAAGACTTATATGAAATGACACTGAGTGAAATGAGCAGAACTAGGAGAATATTGTACACAGTAACAGCCACACTGTATGAGGATTGATGTTGATAAACTTGGCTTTTCTCAGCAAAACAAGGATCTAAGACAACTCCAAAAGACTCATGATGGAGAATGCTATCCACATCCAGAGAAAGAACTATGATTCTGAATGCAGATGGAAGTATGCTATTTGCTCTCCTTTTCCTTTGTTGTTTTGTTTTATTGTTTTATTCTTGTGGCTCCTCCCACTAGTTCTAATTGTTCTTCACATCATCACTAGGGAGAAAATATGTTTAATATGAATGTATAAGTAGACCCTACGTCAGATTGCATGTTATCTTGGGGAGAGGAGAAGAAAGGGGGGGGAGAAAATTTAAAACTCAAAATCTTATGGAAATGAATGTTGAAAACTAAAAATAAACAAATGCATCATTTACTTTTTTTTAAATATGAACTTTTTTGGGTATTTCACTTCCTGTACCATCCATATGCAATTATATATGTGTACATACCTGCATAAACATATATATGTGTCTGTGGTATTTGACATGTATATAAGTATGTAGGTTTCACATAATTACATGCACATGCATATGCATGTATATGTAGGTATTGAAATTCATGGTGTTCAAAAAAATTCTCAGGGCAGATTTCACCTACTAAAGCTCAAATTACTTTTAGAAGACCTTGTACACACACCATTTACTCATTCATGTATTATACAAACATAAGAAATAGTACCTTCGACCGTGACTCGGAATTCATGCATGGCAGTCCCTTTGTAATTCTTGGCCGTGCAACGATAATGTCCTTTATCTATGTGAGTGATCTGTTCAATCTTCAAAGTCTTTCCAAAATTTTCTTGTTCTTCTCTTCCCTTGGGCAAATCTTCACCCACTTTAGTCCAAGTGATCTGTGGAGTGGGCCTAGAGAATTACAAAACAGACTGACTAATAATGGCAAGGAAAAACTTCCATCATACTTCCCATGATTACACCAACTGGGAGAACTTCGATGTCTCTATACCCACTTTGACTCCTCACAGATGAATACAGAAACACAATGGCAAAAGAGTGCCAATATATTTTGAACTTCTATAACTTTGCTGATATGTTCTCTATAAAATCCCCAAGATCAAGAAGCATTATTCTCCTAAATTCTTGACTCCCCTTTTCTGGAGCCCTGTATACTTCAGAGTGTAAAATAAGTGAGACTCAATGATCTTGGGGTCATTTTAGTCAATAAAATAATATTTAATTTTGTTTTGCAAATCTCTTTTCCTTTAAAATGAACAGGTACAGGATTCCAGAAGTATATTTTATATGAATATTACCTTTTAACTGGGTCTACACTTGTTGGAAAATGTGTGATTTCACTGATGTTACCGAATTAACTACAAAATAATATTTCAATTTTTCTCAAAAAGAAAAATAAGTTACCATCAACAACAACAAAATCTATTTATTAAGCTGCCATTTATAATCATTTTGAAAATGGCTTTGTATGTTAAATTTGGCCTAAATTATGAGAAGATGACTCAGATTATACTTTATCAATATCTTAGGTCTCCTGATAACAGCCAAAATGTGTTCCACAAATCTAGCCATCTACCTTGCCTTTTATGTAAGGTCAGTGCCTCAGCTGTGCCTTACAGTTATTCCTCCTGGGATGGTAAAATTTTGATAAACTGGACCTGGCAAATTCAGTTTTCACAATTTTACCTGCTTGCTTCCCATACTGGTTCACTCTGTATGGGTTCAGCAGCAAAATAAGGCAGAGTCAAGAATAATAAAAATACTAACAAATGTTGCAATAACAACACATTGGGGAAGAACGAAGCCAGGGACAAGGAACTAGCAAGGCCACAGGTTGCCTTCTAGGTCCTTGGGTGTGGCCCTTTGACTGCATCTAAGTTTTACAAAGCAAATCTTTAAGTAGTCCATAAGAAGTGCCATCAGCAGCTTCCACTCGTGTCAGATCTCCCTGGATTCATGAAAATGCCCCAGACATTCGTCTCCCACACTGCCCATAGTAGCAGCTACAACCTGCCTACTGGCACTACTGTTCCCCAATCACCTACCACTGTCTAACATCATCAAAACAGCTGTTTTCAAGTTATCCAGGATTATGGGACTGAGAACACTCTGCAAGCAATAGTAATGTAATGAAATTCCCAACAGGCTGTTGCGGGAGAACATTATCTGCTGGTATCCTGACCACACCACCCAATAGGACGTATACCCCAAGTCTCTTAACTGCTTACTTTTCATTCCTTCTGTTGGTGTGGAAATATGCCAAATCACAATCTGTTCTTCGCTTCAGGTATGTACAAACACACACACACACACACACACACATTTTACTGTACATTTTCTTAACAGTACAATTGCCTCCTTTTCCTTCCTTTTATTTAAATGTATCCTTTAGTCCTTTCTTAACCTAGCATATTCTAATATCAAAAGTGTTAGCTCGAAAATAGAAAATGTCTATCAAAGAGTATTATATCACTGTGAATTCAGTTTACCTAGGAACATGTCTATGAGCCAAAAGCATTTCCAGGTCTATTGGATTTTGTGTGTCATATTATTATGACTATTATTGTTTTTGATGGCCTGGTACATGTTAAATGGATAGTGAGGGCACAGCTGGTCTCCAAAGGTGACCTTGCTTTTATAGCTGTAATTGTTCATTCAAGCACATGAATCTTAGATTTCCAGGCTTAATGCAGCTCTTTGTTCAGCTCTTTCACCTATTTCATCCTCTTCTTTTTTATTATGTTATGTCACCTTTCTTTTTCTTATCCCTAAATTAGTTATACATCTTATCATCCACAGGCATATAGCAGTTTCATACACTTACAACCAGCTCAGTACATTACAGAATTATATCCCTTTCTCTCCACTCATTCCAAGGTTATGGACTCAATCCTTAGATGAATATAAGTTGACTTTTTTCAAACACTCCCTCCCCCCCCCACACACACATCTCAATTCCACAGCCTAGTCCAGCCAGCCATGGCAAATTATTTTCCTCTCACAGGGAATGCAACATTCTCAGAGATGGCCAGGATCTCAGAGGTCATCTAGGCCAAATGGCATCTCAGTAGGAGTTCCCTGTACAACATCCCCAACAAGTAGAGATTCAGTCTCTCCTAGAAGAGGTTCTATAAAAGAGAATTCCCTGTGTCCCAAGACAGTCCATTCTACACAGAGGAAGCTTCAAGCTGTTGAAAAGCTTTTGTTGTACCAAGCTTCAATTGGTCTCAATACACCTACCTCCTACTGTTCCTAGTTTTATCCCCAGCATGAATCTCATACTCTTTCACTTGATAAACTTTAAAATATTTGAAAGCAGATGCCCTGCCACCCATAAGTCTTATTTTCTCATGGCCAAATATCCTCAGATCCTTGTCCTAATAGGTATTCTCTCTCATCATACTGGTTACACTGGCCAGAGATGCTCTGGTTTCTCAATACACTTTGAAAAATATGGCTTCCATAATCAAATGTAGTACTTCAGATTGGGTCTCATGACAGCCAAATACACAGAAAGTATTCTCCATCTCATTCTATGTGCTATGTCTCTATAAATGTTCCCTACAACTACATTACACAGCAAGGTTACATTTTGAGTTTCCAACTGTGATTTAGTTGTTCATTTATACTTCTTTGCCATGCATCAATAATGTACTTCACCTTTGTGAATGAGCTCAACCATCTCATATTTGTATCACTGACATTACACTTATGCCTATGAACTTTCTTATTATTACATAACTTAGCTTTGAAACCTAAAAATCAATCCCAACACTTCCCTTTCCATTACACCTAATATCCAATAAGTTGCCACATCTTATTGATTCAACCTACAAAATATGTCTTCCAAATTGTCCCTTTCCCTCCACTCATGCAACTTTGTTGTTCAGTTGTTTCAGTCATGTCTGGCTCTTTATAACCCCATTTGGGGTTTTCTTGACAAAGATACCAGAATGGTTTGGCATTTCCTTCTTCAGGACATTTTGCAGATGAAGAAACTGAGGCAAACAGGGGTAAGTGATTTGCCCAGTGTCACATAGCTAGTAAATGTCTGAGTCCAGATTTGAACTCAGGTCTTCCTGAATCCAGGTCCAGCACTCTATCCATTGTGCCACTTAGCTGCCCCAACTTACACAACTAACACTCAGTTTAGATAATCACCAATCCTTGCCTGGAATGTAGTAGCAATTTACTAATTTCCCTGCCTCCGTTATCTCCCCTCTCCAATTTGTTCTTTCTCCCACTGTCAAAATATCCTCCCTAATGTGTATATCTCTCCATGTTTCTATATCATCAAAAAGTTGTAGTCATCTGCCCCTTCTTCCATCAGGCACATAATGACTCTCACCACAACTGAAAGTCTGTCCTTCAGAAGGTTTCAGAACTTTCTTGTGTGCATGGACCTTTTTGACAGTTAGTGAAACCTATGGATCCTTTCTCTGAATAATGCTTTTAAAAGAAGAAAATAAATGAGATAGGATTACACCATAAAATAATCACTTATTAAAACATAAAACACACACACACACACACACACACACACACACACACACAGCCATGGACTCAGAGTAAGAACTGATGGTCTAGTAAGATCATAGCTATACCCTACCCTAATTCTATCATATACCAACAGGAGAGAATCAGGTATTAACTTCCATTCTAGCCTGTTGTCTGAATTAAAAATAAAGTATATACAAGGACACACATATGCATACACACACATAAAGTTCAATTTTAAATACACACATGAATACAAACACATGTAAAATGCAAATGAATTGTAAATGCTCTTTCCAGACACATTTGGATTTCATGTATTCCCTTTTACAGAGCCTGACTTGACAATATTATGAAACATGCACAATTACTCACAGGCCTTCAGCAAAACACTCCAACAGCAGTGTCCCCCCTTTGATGATGGTGACTGAAGAATGACTGCCAGAAGTTTCAGGAGGCAAAAGCATTCTGGGCTCTCTTTGCTTGATTGAATTTGCTGTTCAAATGGAAAAGAAAGCTTGAGTCCTTTTCAACTGAGAGAGAGAATGGTATTTCTGGAGCATTTCAAGTCTTACCTTCATATACTTCAGTGACTTAAATAATTACATCTATTTTCCCACGAATATTTATTTTCACAGCTACATGTAACATAGGTCAGATGAAATAATTGTGGACAATATAGTAAGCTAAAGAGGTTGTTATTCTGCTACATAATTAACCATTTTCCGAGGTCGAAGTATTTTGTGTAGTCATTAATACCTAGAAACAACTAGGTCAGTTGATGCATCACTGTTTACTCCATATTTCACCAAAATCACACACACACACACACACACACACACACACACACACACACACACACACTGCATTCAGTCAGCTATATTCTGAGTTCTCTGTGTCTGTCTCTCTCTCTCTCTGTCTCTCTCTGTCTTTTTCTTTCTATCTCCTTCTCTGAATATACATAAGCACAATATAGATATGTACATGTACACATACATGGTTGAATGCAGTGCATACAATATACATGAGTATATATTCCTATAATTATACAGGGAGCCAAAGTTTCCCTTTTCTGTGTAGAGTGCCTCTTTTCAGATTTAGTGCATTCATTAAGAGCAATTGATTTTCTTCATTTCTGATTTTACAAATGAATAAGAATTTTAAGTTGTATGCATATACATTCATATCACAAAGCTGAGGGAAAATAATGTCTAGCAAATGTATCATTTCACTGTTTTCCATTTTATCAAATATAATTCCTTTATACTTTTGATCCGAACAGAGTTTCTCTGACTCTTCCCTTTTCTCTTAAAGTACACTTAATCTCCAGGCTTGCTTCCTGACTTCAGACTTTCTCTAAAATGCTCCTTCAAGCTCTCTCCACCCCAGCACTTTACACTTCTTGACTGGTTCCTCTCAGAACCTCCACTTTAAAGGGGGCATCCAAGCCACCTGTGTCTTCATTTCTCTCAAGGCTGCCCTCCTAACTGATCTTGAGTTTTTCTTTAAGACATCCTACATGCCAGGTACCTCCCCAGACTTCCTGCTTCTCAGCTTTGTTTTATGTTTTGTCTTTCCCTATCAGAATGTTTATTCCTTGAGTACAGGGACTATATTTTTTTCTGTTTGTATTTCAATTTGCAGCACTTAACACAATGCATGCACATAATAAGTACTCTATGAATACTCATTGATTAGAGAAATAATTTTGCCACAGATAATACCAAGGCATTCCCCTTTTTCACCTACCTTTTGATGTGTCTTATGACATAATGACAACACTCATAGGAGCTTATGAACGCCATTAGATTACAAAATTTTGTTTGGATGGCAAAACTTGCATTGGCACTGAAATTTCTTTGAGGTACTTATCCCCACTACTGACTGTCTTTGCCTTTACCTGCCTCTGTCTATAACACCAGACTAATAGAGTATAGGCCTGCTGTAGCAAATACACTCAACATATCTTAACAAATACACTTTCCTAAGAAAAATAATTTATATTTCTTTAATTCTCACTGCTGATACTTATTAGCCTTGATTTTATTTTGTTAAAGTCCAGGCAAGAAAATCAATGATTAATTTTATGATTGGATAAAGTTATTCTTGCACTTACTTTTGTCTAAGGAACAAAAATTTGTTAAATATATGTGTGTGTGTGTATGTGTGTGTGTATATGTATGAATATGTCTATGTTTATGTTAATGTAAATGTATGTGTGTGTGATCCAATTACTTTTCCTAGATAGCCAGCTAATGATATATTCTAACCCTCCTTTTTTGTAAGCCCATAACACAGAAAATTGTTGGAATCAATGTTTTATAATCCATTTGAGGAAAAATTGCTGCACAAATATTATAAATTTTGGGGGGGATTTTTTCCTTTGGAATCAAAAACAGAGTTTTATGAAGCTCACAAAAAATTAATTTAGTGAACTAGAAATGAGAATTCTAAATATAACAAGGAAGAATGGGGACAAAATTAAATGACAGCTAACTACATGTATGTTCAACTTACCCTTAGTAACATTCTGTCTGTGTGAACTCGAGTCATTAGCATGCTTTACTGAAATAAATAAAACGGAAACCAAATGCAAACATAACAACTGATATTGATAACAATAACACAACATAAAATAAAATACAAAGCCATTTCCCCCCTAAAATTGATGACAAAATGTCTAAAGGAACTTGTGATTTGATTGGTGTAGGGAACTCGCAAAGGAGGGGACTCTCTCTAACAGTGCAGGTCAGCACCTTCTTTGAAATTCATATCTTAAGAGTGTTTCCTCTAGCATAGAAAGGTTAAATGACTTGCCCAGCATCACACACCAAGTATATACTAGAGGAAGGACCTGAAGCAGTCTTTCTTAGTTTCATGAGCAGCTTTTTTATGGTCTATACTACACTGCCTCTCAAGGATCACTATACTGCACCTGATTATAATGCTTTTGGTGTCCACATTGGGGAATCAAGCTTCTGATGGAAATGTTACATAGAGCTTCTTTTGATCCAAGGCAGATCAGCTTTAGTGAGAATCTCACCCTACAGCAGAATATCCAATTTCAAGATTCCAGCAAATTTTCATATGAAGAAAATAAAGTTACAATGTTAATCAGCTCAAACAATGAATGAATAGAAACCAAAAATATGTTTATTAGTCAAATTTCATGTTATTGGGAATCATTCAAGTAATTGTTTTTCCTCTTTCTTCCCCTATTAACTACATGTTAAAAATGCTGCAGTTCATATTAGCATCTTTAGCAAAAAAGGAAAAGGGTATGGGGGGGTGGCAAATGGGCTGATGTTATTATTCTTCTCTAACTCTTGTCTTTTTCTTAGGTGAATTTTCATTCAAAGTGAACTTTCTGACCAAGATTAGACCATAGTTAGTATGTAGGAAAACGTTTGAAATCCTTGGAATCTCAGCATGTACCTTGCACACAGAAAAATACTCCATTCTATATTTCTCCAAGTAAATACAGTTGTTCAAAGAATTTTTTTATGACTACAAGAAATAGAAAAAGACCCTACAGATGCAGCTGCAGACCCTTCTTCAATCTGAATGAAGTCTCTAGAGTTGAACTAAGAATGGAGAGGAAAATCAACCAACATTCATCTACATTAAACAAAATGCTATTAGGGAACATGGAATATATTTGCCTCAAACATCATTCAGAATGAAAATGCAGACTATGGAGACTCACAACTGTTCACTGTCAATTTCATTGGCATCTTCTGCACAATAGTTCGCAATGTTGGAAAGGCTGCAAAGCAGCAGTAATCACTCCGACTGTCATTTTCTTCCACATTTGCAAAGTACAAATCTCCCTTCTGGCTCATGTACACTCTTTCATCCTGCGGGATGTGCTGCAAATCTGGAAAGAACAATACCCAAATCAGTGATTGAGGCTTATATTTAGTCTTCCTACACTGTTTGCCTACACAGATAGCGAAATATTCAATTGCGATAAGGTCTCTATCATTCAGCACCACTCTTTTCCTCTTCCTCTTTCTTTCCTCAGACTATGTTGTTTCTTTCCATCTGTAAGACTGATTCATTTTTATCATTGCATTCTCAGCACCTAGCACTGGGCCTGGCAAGTATTAGATTCTTAATAAATGATCATTGAGTTGAATAGAACTAGATTAAATTGAATTTGTTATATTGAGCATGTGGAGAAGAGACAAAACAGGCATTTTTTTTCCTTCTCATCAAGAGTCTATCAGAGCCTAATCACAACAAACACAATGACAGACACCCACTTAACCAATCCCTACCACCTGCCATCATAAGAACAGAATTTGCCTATTAAGAACCCTACGTAAATATCAGTTAATCTTAAAAAGCATTGGTTAAGCCCTAGCATAATTGATGCTTTATTAAAAATATCAATTAAAGATGCAGTCTAAAATGTAAGTTGGAAAATAATGCAATAGTTCAATCCCTAAATTTGTACGTGTTTTTGTTTTACTTTTGCAAATCAAATGTAGCACAAAATAAAGAAATCTTCTTTGTCTACAATCTTTACTGATGGAACACTGACATCACATTAAGTAGATAGTTTTTATTTCTATAATTATGGTTTAGAAACAAAAGCTCAGACATATGCTCCGTATATATGCAATCAGTGAACTGGATTGAGTTGGTAGAATAAAACTGACCAAATTTAATATAACTTGTTTTTATGACAGATTCACGTGCTAGGTTATAGATGTAATGAGAGGACATGATGCTATTACTCTTTGCTGGAGATTTCAGTATAACTACCTTTCCCCAATGGATCTAATTGTTATTTTTTTTAATTCAATTTTGCAGGTTCCTCTGGGTACATTTTCCACAGGTCACCCAAAATCCTTTGGTGTGCCCTAAGTGGCCCTTGGACTGTAAGTGGCCTGTAGGCTAGAAGTTGTGCAGGCTTGATATAGGCCATTATTTTATTATCACCGTCTGTTTCTTTGCCATAATAATCTATAACCCTGAAGACACTAAGATTGCTACAGTAATTGGTAATAATTTTAATGCCTTTCCCCAAAAAAAATAAATTAGCCAGATTTCTGATATTACGTTTTCATTTATGTCGGACTACATCATAAATAGTTAGTTTTACCAGTATTGACTACCCATCCAAAAAGCATATGTCCCGCCAATATCTATCCCTGCTGAACTACCAATCAACTAAAAAATTGATCAACAAGCATTTATTAGGTATTGCGGGCCAGGTATTATGATAATATCTGGAAATACAAAAACTTAAAGGAACATCTTTCCTGCAAAAGAGATTATAAACCAGTCAAGAAAGAGTAAATATGCATATAAACATATAAACAAAACAGATATAAGATAACTGATTAGGCATTCTATCCACAAGATTCAATAAACAGCATCTCCACACCTCTCCACCTATCTATATATTTAGGAATAGGGGTTGCAGTTGAGTGGTAAGAAAACTATCCTTGGTGGAGAGCTATCCTTGAGATCAATCCTATTTCTTACACATACTGGGCATGTGATTCTGGGTAAATCATGTACTCTTTCAGTATTCCAGGTAAATGCCTAAGACTGCACATTGTATCTCTCCCCCCTCAAAAAAAAGTGGTGCCTACATTGGTAGAGGAAATTTCTTCACCCAGGAGTTCAATATAACATTGAAATTTCATGTCCAGTTGCTATACTTCCCCTTCTCCACTCTACATATAGAGGGATTGGATGTTTTATTTCCATGGGATTCCATGGGAATCATAGGGAGAGAAAAAATTATTCTAAAGAGGTAGATTGAGATCTACTCCATAATTCATAGTCTTGGACAATTGCCTGGGGCATTGAGTGCCTAAGGAAATTGCCTAAGGTCATCCAGGCAGTATATGTTACAACACTATCTCTTTATATGCTAAATGTTGCTTATGTGTATAATATAATGTAACATAAAATAACACAAACATACGTGTGTGCATGTGGTATCTTTAAACATACATGCATATATACACATATACATACATATATGCATATATACATATACATATGCATATGTGTGTGTGTGTGTTATGGGTATGGTTAAGAGTGTATGCACAGGAACACATTTAAAAACACCCAAGTATGTGTTTTATATAGGGAAATTGATAGGGACTAAATTCATAATTTCATTGGTATAAGGCAGGGATGTCAAAACCCAGACCTGTAAGCCTCCAAAACTTCCACAAAACTCCTAGGTTCAGCCAGAATCAGAATCAAATGTAATTGGGAATAGTTTAATAAAATAAATAAAAACTACATCTTAGATGATGTTAATTTCTGATTTTCTAAGTCCATATACTGCCAGCACAGATCTGTTTCTATTTTGTGTTTGATATCAGTGAGATATTAAGTATATCTAGATGAGGAAACTCCCTCTAGTAACACATGTAGGCACCTTTTCTGAAACTTCAAATCTTAGAGAGTTGACTAGAGCACTGAAAGTTTAAGTGAATTGCTCAGGGTCACATAGTCATTATCTGTCAAAGGCAGGACTTCATGGATCCAAGGCCCACTCTCCTATTTCTCTTTCTGTTTCTCTGTCTCTGACTCTGTCAGTCTGTCTCTGTCTGTTTCTCTATCTGTCTCTCTTTCTGTACCTAGCTCTGTTTCTGTCTGTCTGTCCACCTATTTCTCTTTGTTGCCATCTGTCTCAGTGTCTATGCCTAATTGTCTCTCTCCCTCCCTCTCTTCATATATCTGTTTCCACTGAAGGCCCAATGATCTATAATTTATGGTCTTGGTTACTTCCTTTTCTAAGATTAGCATGAGATGCAATAAGACACAATACATGAAGAGCCCATGACAGAATCAACTGACCTGGGGTGAAATCCATCTCTAGCTTACAACCTCCATGTGAAGCTGGGCAAAGCATTTCATCAAAAAACACTTCAGGCTTTGCTCTAGTACTTAAATTTGCAGAGCAGGTGCTGATCCACTTGGGTAGGTACAGTTGACTCTCTGTGAATTCCTTACAGCAATGAAATCATACTTCCAGACCAACATAAAATCCCAAGTTCATGAAAATTGAATCTACCTTTTCAGTTGAAGAAAACGCTACTCACCAATATTCATCCAGTATATATGAAGTGGAGGGATGCCTTTGGGGGGATTGCAATGTAGGACTATTGAATTTCCCTCTTCTACTTCCAGAGGTTCAATTTTTTCCTTTGGAAATTTAGGTATACCTGAGGAAAATAGAAAACTTTCACTAATCCTTTTATCAATAAGTAACATACCTCCTCCATTTGAAGAATTATCCACATTAGCCATCCCTACTTCAAACATGCTTCATCCCACAACTCCATAACCACATCTCCTCTATTCCCAGTGGCAGTTCCCCACCACCAATCCCCATGTTTTTAAATTTCTTTTAGGTTTTGTCTTCCTCCATCATAATGGAAGTTCCTTGAATGCAGGGATTCTATTGTTTTTTGTTTGTACCTATACTTAACACAGTGCTTGCTTCATAGTAGGTTTTTAATAAATCCTTTATGTCTACCATCTATCATTTTTCTATCCATTTAAAAGCTTTCTGTCTATCTATCTATCTACCCACTTGCTACCCACCTACCTATCTATCTACCTATCCCCTTTCTCACTCTATCTTTACATATCTATCTACTATACATGGCAGTAATATATTTTAAGTGATTTTAGATGAGGATTAATAGATTTTAAAAAGAAGTTTATCTATGTCTTTTGCTTTCACATCACAATAATTCTTAGGTAGCCTCCCTCCATCCCACCCAATTCAAATTTAACCATCTCTTGTAATAAAAATAGTTAAGAAACACAAAGTGATACAGATACAACATCTGACAATGTGTACAACAATCTACCTAAACAGTCAAGTCTCTCTCTGGAAAAAGGCAGAAAGTATGTTTTATGATCTATTTAGTAGGACTGTGACTAATACTGCTATTATTGTTGTTATAATCTCAGAGTTCATAAGTGATTGCTTTTATTTTTTAATTTTTTAATTTATATTTTTAAATATTTTCCAATGACATGTAATATATATATATATATATATTTTTTTTTTTTTCAAATTGAGCAGGTTCTCTCCCTCCCTCCTGTTACAACACTGTCCTCCTTAAGAAGGCAAGCAATTTGATTTTGATTATACATGTGAGGTCATGCAAAATATGCTTTCATACTAGCTATGTTGCAAAAGAAAATATAAACAAAATATTAAAATAAAGTTTTGTTTTGTTTTAATATGCTTCAATTTGCATTTAACATTCATCATTCTGTATTTGGAGGAGCTTACCATTTTTTTTTGATTATGGATACTTTGGAATTTTCTTGAATCATTGTCTTGATCAGAGTAACTAAGTCTTTCACTGTTGATCATTGCCACAATATTGCTGGTACTCTGTACAATGTTCTTTCTACTGGTTCTTCTCACTTCAGTTGTTGTCAAGTCATTTTTTCAGTCATGTCTGACTCTTCATGATCCCATTTGGGGTTTTCTTGTCAAAGATGCTTGCCTAATCAGTAGTAATTTAGAGAGTAGTGGCAGCTTCAATTTGTTCTTTTGAAAACTGCCTATTGATACGATATGATAATTTATCAACTGGCCTCTTATTTTTTTTTAATAACCTTGGCACTATACTCTATCTCTGAGAAATTAGGAATTTGGTGGGTCTTCTTCTTTGCCTATTTTAAAAATAGTTTATATAATAATGAGATTTATTGTTCCTTAAGTAAAGGAATTTCACAGAATGTCGCTTGTGAAATTTGGTGCAATCTACTTGTGATTCCATATGGTCCCTAGGCTTTTTTTTTGGGGGGGGAGCTCATTAATTACTTGTTGAATTTATTATACTAAAATAGGATATTTAAATATTCCATTTCCTCTTCTGTTTACCTAGACAGTTTATTTTTCTTTTTTGTAAAAATTGAAACATTTCATTTACATTGTCAGTTTTACTGGCATATAATAGGGCAAAATATTTGCATTAATTTCATCTTCATTGGTGATGTATTCACCATTTTCATTTTTGATACTATTAATTCTGTTTTCTAATTTTAATGAAATTAATAAATGGTTTCACTATGTAATTGTTTTTCTCATAAAAATCAGCTCTCAATTTTATAATTTTGTTTATTAATATAGTGTTGTTTTATTTTTCAATATAGTTAATCTCTCCTTTGATTTCAAAATTTCCATTTTCATGTTTAATTGGGAATTTTTAATTTGTTCCTTGTCTACCATTTTTAGTTGCATACTAAATTCATTGTTCTGCTCTTTCTCTCTTTTATTGCTGTTTGCCCTGAGAGATATAAATTTTTATATAAGTTTATATAAATTTGGGGATGTTGTCTCATTGCTATCGTTTTCTATAATAAAATTGTTGACTTTCTATGATTTGTTCTATGACCCACTCATTCACTAGTATTAGATTATTTAATTTCCAAATGCTTTTTAATCTATGTTTCCATGGCCCTTTATTCTACGTATTTTATTGCATTATGATCTAAGAAGAGTGCATTTAATATTTCTGCTTTTTTGCATTGGGTTGTGAGATTTTTATGCCCTAATACATGGTCAATTTTTGTGAAGGTGGCTTGGACAGCTGACAAAATAGTACTCCCATTTCTATTCCCACTCATTTTTCTCCAGAGATCTATCATATCTAACTTTTATAAAATTAAAATCATTTCCTTGATTTCTTCCTTTTTATTTTTATGGTTAGATTTCTCTATCTCGAAATGGAAAAAAAAAAAGTTGAGGTCCCCTCCAACACAATTTTATTATCTGTTTCCTCTGGTAATTCATTTAACTTTTCCTTTAAAAATGTGCATGTTACGCCATTTATTATATATATTAGTATTAATATTCCTTCATTGACTGTGGCACCTTTTAGCAAGATGCTGCTTATCCTTTTTAATTAGGTCTATTTTTGCTTTTGCTTTGCTGAGATCGTGATCGCTATCCCTGTCTTTTTTACTTCACTTGAGGTATAATAAATTCTGCCCCAGCCACTTATTTCAAGTCTGCATGTATTTTCTCTTTGACTTAGAACTTTATGTTAATGTTGGGTTTGTTGGGCTTCTGTTTCCAGCGTTGGGTTAGGGGAGGGACATTGTCTCAAACTTCAAACTTTTTGCACTGCTGTTTTCAGAACTAGCTCTGTGGGGTTGTAAGTTTTTAGTGCTTCCAAGGTGGTGTGATCTGGGGAGAGGTGTAGTCACTGATCACTTGGTCTGCGCCCTTGTCCTTACCCAGGAATGTCCTTTCCTCCATTGGGACCACTAACAGTACTGCTCCTCAGGGTCCCTGATCATTCAGGGCTGTCCTTCAGGATTTCCACTCCCCATTCACTGAATGTGTTCCTCTCTGCCTTTGAACTGTGACCCAGTATTGGATATAGGCAGATGGATTGCCCAACAGCATCTGGTCCTATATCCAGTGCTAGCATAGGCGTATTCTGTAATCTCTTTCTCACCAGTTGCCAGGTCCCTTTATTGTCTCTGACTTGAGACCTCCCAAAGTGCTACTGCTTCTATTACCACCACCTAATCCCACCACTGGTGTTTCATTCACAAGGTCTCAGAGTCACAGTCCTCCTCCATGTCACAGATCTCTCTTTTTAAAGTTGTTTGAAGGGGAATATTGATAGAGCTTGGCTGAGTGCTTCCATACTCTGCAATCTTGGCTTCCTTCCTCCCCACCCCAGAAGTGACCAGCATGGACTTTAGTGATTGCTTTTAAATAGTTAGTGTTCAGCTGACATTATCAGTCTGATTAAATTAAGAAGGAAATTGTTGGGGATTGCAGGAGTATATTACAAAGACCCCCAAGTCTCCTGAATGAATGAAGAAAAAGAAAAGGTAAACACTGGCCTGTATACTCCAGGGGTTTTTCAAAGGGAAATTAATTTGTGATATGGAACTGCCCTCTGAAGTAAAAACATTTGCAGACCTTTGTAAGTTCCTTGAGGCTTTACCAGGAAGACAAGCGCTAACATAGCTGAATGGGCTTAAAGCTGCTATGCTGGCCAGCCAGTAACCACTACGAACAACAAATAAGTAGCTTGATACCAAAACCAGCAAGATGAATCCCAGGCCAAATGCCAGTGCATAAATATTACATGAAAGCAATCATTAAGACTTGATTATGGAATTCTATTCCAACTCTTGGGGTCAGCAAGGCATGTGAAAGTTCATCCAATATATCTCCCTGCCTGATGAAATCTATCCAGGGGATAACTGCATTTCTATCTTCTGAGCAAAAAGGCCAAAGTTCACAACAGACTGCTATTATTCTTATTAGTCTAAAGAGCACATAAGTTTATTAGGTTATTTCTTCTTGGGAAGCTTGATATGTCCCTTTCACTATTTTTCCTGTTCTTTTCTCCTTCTTCTCCAGAGGTTGAGGGAATTTGCTGACATTTCTGTAATCAGTGTGCCAGCTGGGCACAATGAATCATGTTTTTGTCTCAATTTAAGGACCCTTTCATGCTCTTCTTTGCAGGGTGTATGCCATGTGTACAGTGCAAGGCAGCAGGCTTTGGTTGGCTTTGTATACTCAGTCACATGACAACCCATCAAGGAAATCCCCCTTCATCAACTTAAATTCACATCTCTTTTATCTTGTGATACTCAGAATTTTAGAAGAAAGTTGCTATTTTTTTTCCCCTTGAGAATATATGAATATATTAATAAATATGTTTTATGAGCTAATGTTTAACAAAAAATATTAATGCTGTGGAATTTTATGTATTTCTTTTTTTAATTATTACTTTTCAAAAACCACTCCACCATACCCCACCCATCACTACCAAAATAGCTATTCCTTTAAACAAAGAAAAACAAACCATCACATTGGGCAGATCACAGAATGACAGAAATTGAGAATAGAGAAGGACCTTAGTGGACATCTAGTCCAACTCATACCAGAAAGAATGTCCCTTATAAGATATTAAAAAGTGTATTTCAGTTCTGCTTGAAGACTTTCAGGTAGAAGAAACAACACTTTTCAAGGTAGCCTGTTTCACTTTGAGGTAGCTCTGAGTGTTAAGAAGGGTTTTTTTGGCCCAAAGGGCTATAAAACTGTGCATACCTTTTGACTCAGCAATATCCACTTCTAGGTCTGTATCCCAAAGAGATCATAAAAATGGGGAAAGGGCAAACATGTACAAAAATATTTATAGCAGCAATTTTTGTGGTGGCAAAGAAT